CTTCCGGAAGTACACAGGTGCTACAACTGACTTTGGTCGCACCATACTGACAGCGAGAGTATGGTTCCTAGACCTAATAGAAGATCTCGGAAGTCCAGCAATCAAGTTACCAGATTGGCCAAACCTACTCATACATCCGCACACCAAGCAAGTCCACGGAAACCCGACAGTGTTCCAGCTACATGTGTGGACCGTATCAAAACATGTTTGAAGAAGAGAGGATATTCCGCCAGGGCGTAACCTGTATGATGACAAATGGCTGAAGTTTGAGACTTATGCAAGGCGGAAAGGCTTCACTGCGATGAAAGCTACTCATACTCAAGTGGCGGAATATCTGTGTCACCTTAGACAGACCAGACATCTGAAAGGTTCGACAATATCTACATACCTCACCGCCATCAGTACAGTGATTACCATGAAACAGGCATCAAGTTGATGACAGTACCAGAATTACTTGCTCTGCTGAGATCTTTTAAACTGGAGGACCAGCAAAAGAAGTTCAGAACTCCAGCCTGGGATCTGAATGTAATTCTACGTCATCTTACGAGTGATGCCTACGAATCTCTAGACCAGACTACCCTCGAGCTGCTGACACAGAAGACTCTGTTCCTGCTTGCGCTAGCCACGGCAGCTTGAATATCAGAGATACCTGTGCTGGACTTTGGTCCAGATTCGACAGGGGGCAACATGCGGCAGTTCATCTAGGACTTAGATGGGACTTCATTGCCAAGAACCAACTACCTGGTCAGCCAGATAGACAGTTCAACTTACCAGCGCTATCTACAATCCTCGGACCAGAGGATATAGAAGACCTATCCTTGTGTCCGGTCAGAGCCCTGAAGATATATCTTCAAAAGACTGAGACAAGAAGACAAAAATTCAAGCGCCTGTTCATCCCATTATCAACAGAAGTCTCAAGAACGACCATATCGTTCTGAATGAGAGCCCTCATATTGAGAGCCTATAAAGCAGCAGGACTAAACCTCCCAGAGCTTCCAACCCACACGAAGTCAGAGCACTGGCGTCAACACTGGCTCTGCACGGAAATTGCTGTATACCAGCAATTATCGAGGGCTGCTTTTGGAAGTCAGACACAGGGGGGTACAGGACGTATCTAAGGACAGCTGATGAATCCACGTAGTGGCTTGACCCACCACCAATCCGTCGGATTCTAAAAGCAAAAGATCATGAGTCAGGATAAGAAAAAATATGTAATTTTTCAAGTAAAATTGATATTTTAATACTTATCCTGACTCATGACGAGAAGCCCTCCCAACCTCCCCGCTGGAGACACTTTGGATTTCACAGCAGATCCAAGTGCATGGGCAGAAAATCAGGAGAGAGTGACAAGTAAGGCTGGCCATGACTGTTTGCGCGGGAAAAGGGCAAAAGGGAGGTAACTCGTGGGTGAGTGTATTTTTACGCCCGCATCGGGAACTTCCAGGGATTCACTTGTTCCAGTACCATTCGAAAGGAAAGGGAGATAAGCAAAAGATCATGAGTCAGGATAAGTATAAAAATATCAATTTTACTTAAAAATTACATTGAAATTCCTCTAAAGAAATGTTTTCAAAGACTAATTGCTAGTCTAACATCAGGTACACCAACATGTCAGTGTCAGTGTACACATCTCACGTGTCAATCATATCACCTACTGCCAGATTAGACTTATTAATGTCCCTGTAGTATACTCTGACAGTTTTACTATGGCTGGGTCCGGTCCAAATTTTCTACCCAGATACCCCACCCCCTATTACCCTACCCTACCCCATGATGTTAATTCCTGACATCAAATTCAATAAATGGCAGTATATTCCTAAGCTCCCATGCCACAATTTCGAGTTTATTCAATATCTGAACCATGTATTATATTCAAAACGGGTGACTGCACAGTTATGTTCTAAATCTTCTGAGACAATACAACCTTTTAATAATGAAAGAATAACCTATTACATTGTTTAATCTATTATACACATGACCATAATGGGTATAGAGACGGGTACCTGGTCCAACTCATTACCCTCCCGTTCCAGTATCCGTCCCAGCCCTAAGTTTTACATAGGTGTCTTTCACCCTGCATGTCAGCCAGAGTGTCGATTTCAGGCACATTTCAGTGTATCAGACAAAACAGAAGCATTTGATTTTTCAAATTTTATTAACAAAAACAAATATAAACATGATATGAATATTGAATGAACCTTCGAGAAGCAAACTGGAAGTCTAGGCCCCATTCCTCAAAGCGATCATAGTGTTATGCCTGTCGTAAGTCTATGTTAAAGTATGGGAGTTACGATCACTTAGGGTTACGATCACTTTGAGGAACGGGGCCCTGGACAACATTTATTACCTCTACCTACCTGGACAGGAACAATGACTATGGCACATACATGATACTGACATTTGATGTAAACACTTCCTTGAACACAAAACAACTATTATATCCATTTAAACAGGTTAGATGGAAACTGTTCACATGATTCAAATGCCAGACATCTTGCAAGACAAATCTTCAAAACCCACAACAGAACCTTTCAACAAAGCCATGTTTCTCATTCAATACAGAAGTGTGGAGTGTCTCCATTACTGAGACCGCTGTCTTATACCTGGAACAATGCTTACACAATAATTACAGTTAAGACGAAAAATAATTTTATGTGCAACCCCATAGCTACTATTCACTCATTTGCACACTGATGTTGGCTTTCCTTTCCTCACATTTTCCTAATCCACCTAAGTGTTGAAGCATAAAATCCAAAACCTACAACTTCAGAATGATAAAACATTTCTTCACCATGCTGAGGTCTGAAAAAATAAAAAAGTTATGGTTCCGATTACCCGACTGACCCTTGAATTCTGGTGCCGACCCTAGTTGTTTTTTTACGAGGTATGAAGAAAATAAGTTTTCAGATATCATTGTTTTTCCCCTGCACCAACTGACATCGGGCATTCTGATAGAGAAAGTCGACATGATGGCCACAAGCTTGATTGGATAAACAATTACTCATTGATAAATGTGTTATACGTTTGTACTTTACTTCTAAAACAAATTTTAAAAAAATAATTACTTCCTACCTACCTACCCTAAATTTTAAAGTGGTGTAAACCGAACCACAATTTTTTTATTTGGCCTAATGTAGCACATAATACTATTGACATCTAGACCTTTTAAACATTGATAAAGAAACTGAAATATTCAATGTATATGCATCATGAAAGTATGGAAATGCATGATAATTTGTAGCTCAAAAGACAAGAAAATGACTTGAGCTGTAAATAAATAACCTGCATGACATGGACTGTTGTGACAAAATCGTATCGTTTTATTTGATTCTGTCAACGATTACAAACATTCGAATATGTGAAGGCAAGAATTTATGGTTGTCAACTTCTTTATTTTGAGGAACATAATGTTTCAGAGTATATTCTTACTCCTTCATTAAGCCTTTATCAATATCACTTCTAAATTAAATTCAAAGATTTCCAATATGTGTTTTGTTTGAATACCACACCATCATTTTAGGTCATTTTGTCAAATATTATAAATGTTCTAGTACGTGTTTTCAAAGTGTTTCTGTATAAATATCAACACACTCAAACATGCAAAAGGCCCCGATTCTCGAAAATGGTTACTTTCAGTTGGAAAATATGACAAACATTTGGATGTTGAAATGATAAACTTGTAACAAGCTACATAAAAAAAGGAGCAACTTTCTTTTTGCAGAGAGGAAAAATACACTCACTGAAATATTAAATACATGGAATGCTAAAAGGTAAACTAGCTTTAATAGCACCATTAACAGATTCTTGTGTATAAAAAAACACTGACTTTTATACATAAAACTATCGTTACTTAAGTACATAAACTGTACCAATATATCATTGTAAAACAACGGTTTGACAAAACCACAGCCAAATGATACTGTGACCTTCTATAAAACAGCTACAGATTTAACTGAGAGATCACAGAAACACTGTTGTGGAAATACAACTAGAAGAGATGAGTTCTGTTTCCTCTTCTTTTTAACTTCACCCATCATTACTTCAGTGCACACAAATCCTCAACATCACCAAGGCTAAAAGTGGACTAATAATAATTGATTTCTTAAGTGCCTAATTTCTTGCCCTACGTCAAAGTTAAAACCAAGTCAATGCTCGTGTGTATACAAACAATCCTGAAGTAGTGAAATGCTGAGCAGAACAAAGGAAAAATTTGAAATTATCTTCAGATTTAGTGTTTCTATATTCAGAAGTTGTAGAGTTCCATAATTGGGGACTGCAAACAGTGTCCTGTCACTTAGCCAGATGATGTGAAAAGAGGTCTCTCACATAGCCAGAGTGGGATTTGGCTGACTAGGGTTAGAGTTTTGATAAAACTTAGTCCAGATTAGCCATAGTTTGTATCAACCAAATGCTCGATTAGTGAAATTTGTATTAAAGTGAGATACATTAATTTGAGGAGGCATCAGAGGCTGGTTATGCAGAGCTCTATTTGGTTTGAGCTGACAGATTGTGTGAAGCACTGGATCCAGAGATATGGAGGATGACACAAACATCACTTCCTGACAAACATACAGGAACATAAACACCAGCTAGCTGTTGTCTAAATCAGTAAACATGTGTTCTGCTACATCCGTTTGAATTTGAACTCCTCCCTTTAGATTTTCTTACAGATTGTGTCATCAGGTTGGGTGACTTTTGCAGATTACAACTTCTTTATTTGTTTTAGATCCAAAATAAAGAAGATATTTACCACTGTCAAGGCTTTCACTGTTACTTACCAACCTCTAAAACACGAATCCGTTGGTATATGACCAGATGGTGGCCACATGAATACGTGCAAACACCTAGTTGCGGGTACAGCAACGTGCAGTAAACTTGGACAAAGTACTGTGACAATGTGTCCCAGTCCACCCAGCTGTGAATGGGTACCTCGTAAGGATGGGAAAGCCGCAATAACTCAGTGCGCCTTGTGGCAGCAAGAGTTGTATGATCCCCAGAGAGCAGAGATTGATAATACGATGTGCCGTTGAGATTGACATCCAATGATCGAGGGAAAAATACCAGGGCCTTGAGCATGCACTGGTGTGTGGATATGTGCGCTATATAAATATCCATTATTAATAATAAAAATTATCAAGGCCATGAGATCTTCTATCCCCATGACGACAGTAGCTCCACAAGTGCTGCATCTCACAACAGCATTATATGAGGAGTTGTCCCCCCTTGGTGAATCAAGTCTGTTGCTGAAGATCCATGGCTCAGCTCAACAAATGTGAAATGTGGCCCTGGAATTTATGCGAAACAAAATTACTTGACTGGAGTATGTGAAATTAGATAAAGATATTATCTAGGCAGTGTTGGAATATGTGGGTTGTTTTTTAGAGGACTATTAACAGAACTAGCACAAGCCGAGTACCAGCATTGAATATTAAAATCACATTGTTTCTAGTCAAATCAGATAAGTGGAAATGTGTCATACACATAAATGACTCTTATTATGCGAGTCGAATACCAACATTGAATATTAAAATCACATTGTTCTTAGTCAAGTCAGGTAAGTGGAAACGTGTCATACACATAAATGACCCATATTATGTTTTTGCACAAGTTAACTTTTTTATCTGTAGTGCTTATCTATCTTTAGCATCAATTCATTATTTTGCTAAAACATTAATATTGGTTCTGAAGGCTCTTTGCTTTTGAGTTCTGCCAGTAACCATGGTAACACATTGCTGCAAGAAGGAATTACCAAGATTCTAAATTCAAAGGTAGGGGGATGGCAATCTTGGCCATTGATTGACACATTAATTATATGATTGTTATGTGTCAAGGTTTGGAATTTCTAAAGAAACTGTGCCTTGTACCTACCCCTTGTCCAGCTGCACATTTAGCACATCGGGACAACATACTAGACTCTGTTGGAACACTTGATGGCATTCCGTCAACATCCATTGTTGTCCAGCCATTGCAGGTCCGTTTCACCTGAAAATGTAAATATTCTCCATACTGACTGGCACAAAAATCGCCTCAGGTCACCCTGTACTTTCAAAAATGAGAATGGTGAGTGAGTGAGTGAGTTTAGTTTTATTTACGACACTTTTGGCAATATTCCAGCAATATCACCAAGGGACACCAGAAATGGGCTTCACACATTGTACCCATGTGGGGAATTGAACTCAGGTCCTAGCATGATGAGTGAACACTTTAACCACTAGGCTAAACCACCGCCTAAAAACAAGAATGAGGGTGCAGGGAACACCCGGTGTTACGCTGTGCAGGGTCAGGTTCCCCAAACTGGAACAACTGGCCCACCGATTTAAAAAAGTGGGCCATCACCTTTCTGAACTAAGGACAGCATGTTTTATGATATTTAACAAATTTATGAACTCACAATTTGAGCACTCCTAGAAAAGGTCGTCATGTGATTATGCTCACTCATGAATTAACAAAAAAGCAACCTGAACATTGAGTTTGACAATAGATACATCGGGATATTACGTTTAGTGCTGATTACTGTTCAAGATTCAAGTTACAGTGTATGACTTGAATGGTAATTTGTAAAGACTCGTTCATATTGTTAGTTTTGTTAAAACTATATCTCGCACTACGTCAACAAAGTATGCCAACTCAACATTATTTGCGTGAAATTTGGCACAATGACTATTAATTTGAGAAAATAATGACACAAGAATGTATATCTCCTGCCAAGGTGCATTCCAGTAATTATTAATTGCAACAAAATTATACCAAGAAGAACAGCAAATTCTAAGAGGAAGCAGAAGAAATGGTCTAAGAATTTCAATGCATACCTGAATGTCTGCTGAATTTTCATGAATGTGCAGCCGTGTGTCGCAGACACTTTCACGTGGTCTTGTGGACAAATCTAAGGCTGTAATCTGATTCTCATGAGCAGAGATGTTTGGTGAGAGTGTGGATATTTCATTTGAGATTCCATAACACAGTTTCTTCTCCTAAAAATACAATATGAATTAGGCATGATGGCGAGTACCTGAGTTTGGACAGAGCAGAGATCGACATGATCAAACAGTTTCTTGTCATCTACATTAACATAATTCTTCAAACTTAAAAATTCTATGTTGGGAATTTGTAATGATTTTTGGATTTTTCATTACACTAAATCTTGAATAAAGCTAAAAAGGGAAAGTTGTGATAAAGGTGATCCCATCATACAAACATGTTCACATATATCGTCACGATATGGCTGAAATATTGCTGATGTGACTAAACATTAATCACTCACTCAAATATATCATTACCCTATTTCATTCTTGCTTAGGCTTGTTCAAAGCTATCAAAATTACAGGCATAATTTATTTCTATAATTTTGATATGTCATAGAGTCTATGGTTATACTGTATATTGTCACTGAAAACACTTGAATTTCAAGTCAATATATAAAACTGAAAAAGAGTATATTATTATAAATTTAATACGTTTGCTATCCTAAGAATATTATCTTTGGTAATGATGCCTCTGTATTTTCACTCCTTATGTCTATTAGCCAATCCTTAATCTTTAGCAGTTTACACGTGTCTACGTTACAAATAGAAAAGAAAAGATAACATAACCTATATTAATAGTGGCAGGTGGTTAGCATGGTTAGGTTTAGTTACCAGCTGGCAAAAAATAGGAACACCGACTGTAGCGAGCGTAGATTCAAGATTCAAGATTCAGTTTATTCAGTAATTCTGGACTTAAGGCCTACATTACAATAATTGTTGCTACAGAATACTATGCAAGTCACGTGAACATATGGTTTCATACATGGTTACATTTATGGCTACGCACAGTAAAAACATGTTTGAGATACATTGCTACAGACTTAATGGTCATAATATTCTTAGAATTTAACAAATTTGACAGTGAATGTTTATCTATAACAGTGTGTGAAAGAAATGGCATATACTTTTTTCGCAAACTTAGATACTGGGTGCATACAAACATGACATGGAACTCATCCTCTATAGCGCCTGTATTACAATTAGAACAGATAGCGAGCGTAATTCATAATGTGTGCGACATAACGTTATCACAAACATCTCAAAACAGAGATTTAATTTTAGCTAATGTTGCAAAGTGTTACGGTTTCTCTTTGTGACAAGCTGATGACTAGATTTAGGACTAAGTGGGGCAAATAATGAAATATTCAACGTAATGATCTCACCGGTTGTACTTCTCGGCATATGCCATCTGTAAATGAACGTTTCCTTTTTAATTCTAACATTGTCTGCAGCTATTTAAGAACTTATCATTACAAATGCACGATGTTATCAACAAAAACACATGCAATTTAACCGTAAGAAATTGCTCTAAGTCCCGCCAACATCTTAACCGAAACCGGATGTACCGGAAGTGTCTCCGAACAGGTGCGCTATTTTGAGGTACGAACGAATATAGATTTTTCGCTTTCGAATATCGTTTTTATTGCACTTCATGAAAAGCGCCTAATGTGTCACTTGTATGAATATTTATCACAACATTTATTTTGCGTATGTAGTTGTCGCTCAATGATTATGAATTATTGAATTTTGGGACGTGACATTCTTCCTTTCGGTGCTCATTGGGAATGCGCATGCCTTTGCCATGGCAGCATTGTAAACTTCCGCTTCGACCCTCGGAGCCCCCCTGTGAGGAAGATCATCATACCTGTAGTCCATATTTGAAGGTGACAGTATATGCTATATAGGTGGCCTGACTTTTATTGTAAATATATGTGTGTTTCAATTTGGTTAAAGAGAAAGCTACACGCCAAAGTAAACTGTCTTCTGGTTTACTGGGCCGGTTAAATTTAGGCTAAATTACCAACTGCCGTGAACTGGTTAAGAAACACAGTTCTAAGAACAGCCACCCACGCTTTCAGTATATTCTAATTCCCCACGTTATTAATTTTACCTTTACTTGACTGTTGAAGAAAATTTAGTCCCAACTTGCATTCGAAGTGAAATTGTGATGAAACTGTGGTGGAGACGAACACTTTATTCCATGTTGGTTTTGCCTTGGCCTACACAGACGCACGCTGCCCATGGACCAGTCGTTGTGTACAGACTCTTAGGGAGTAATCATTATGCAACATCTCCCTTTCTTTAGAAAAGTAAAGATAGCAATTAACACACTATCCCAGCAAACAGTTTAAACAAATGCTAAACAAGTTAAAATGAACAAATTAAAGTCTATATCTCTTTCTTGAGAAATTAAAAGTCTTTGCTAATAAGCAGGACCACACGTCATATCTTCCTCCCTTTTTTTCTTTTTAAGGCACAAAGTCCCTGTATCGGGTGGTGGTCTGACCACCCTGCCTCTCCTCGCTCTGATCTCATGACCAGGTGCTGTGCCATGAACAGAACTGTCCATGATCCTAGGAGTGTTCACAGGAGTGTTCACATCAAAGTCTACAGGAGTTTTCAAAAAATTTCACAGGAGTTTTCACAGGGTTTTCACAGGAGGTGTTACCAGGGGGAGTTCACAGTTGACTGAAACTCTTTCATTGACCTTTCATCCATTCTCTGCTCTTCCAAATCCAGTTCGACATCTTTAGTCTCAGGGGCAGCCTCTTGAGATTTTCTTAGATGGCGTCTATTTCTCGAAGAGATCTTCCATCTTCTGTAATGCATTATGTCATCACGATCAGACATCCACTTGCTGTTCTACAACAGCTTTCTTCCATTTCTTTTGTCACGACTGAATGGCTTCACCGAACTACATCTCCATCTCTCAGTTCTGAAAGTTCAGCTGCACCGCGATTGTAGTAGTAAGCTTGTTTGGACCTCTTGCTTGAAAGTGCGGCAGGGGCGTTTTCAATAGTTTTCGGCTGCAGCAATCGACTTGGCGTTGGTAGCTTCGTTCTCGTTCTGCGCCCAAACAACCTTTGAACTGGCGAAGCTGCCTACACCGTCAGTCGGCACATTTCTTAAGTCCAATAGGGCCAGAAAGGGGTCTGACTGTGCATGCTGAGACTTACTCATGAGTCTCTTGGCGATCTTCACAGCACTCTCCACTTTCCCATTCGACTGTGGGTACCTGGGTGATGAAGTGATATGATCAAACTTCGTACTCTGTTGCAAATGTATGGAAAGCTTCAGAATTAAAGGGAGGTCCATTGTCTGACACAATCTGATTGGGAAGTCCATGCCTCGCCAAATGGGATTTCAACTTTTAAATGATTTCAGGTGCCCTTTTATCATGCAGTCTGTCAACCTCAAAATAGTCCGGTAGTAGTCAACAGTGATCAAAAAATCTTTTTGATCAAACTCAAAAGATCACACCCTAGTTTCTCCCATGGGCGACTAGGTATTTCATGACTGACCAATGGCTCGTCTTTGATCCTGTTGCAGCGTGTTGCAAGTATCACACTTGCTGATGAAATCTGTGAGGTCAGCGGCCATATTGGGCCAATACACGAGACTCTCTGGCTCTTCTGATACAACCTTGTATCCCCAAGTGACTGTAGTGAATTCTTTCCATGATGCCAGGGCGGATACTGACTGGCACAACAACACGTTCACCCTTGAACACTATGCCGTTTTGAACAGAGAGCTCATCGCGAAAGGGGAAAAAGACCCTGGCACACCATGGCACATCATCTGACGACGTTGGCCAGCCGTCCTGAATCAGATCCTTCAGTATCGTCATTGATTTGTCTTCCACAGTTGCTTTTTGTAACTGGTCAATTGCGTTCCTCAGATATTGGCACATACTCAACCATGTTGATGGATTCAACGTCAAGCTGTCTGACATCAGCACATCAACAGCAAACACATCTCCGTCATCAGTCTCAGTATGTTTCACATGTGGAAGATATGCTCTACTCAGAGTGTCAGCAAAGAACATTTGAGATCCCCTCTTGTAGATGACCTCAAAATCGTACTTCTGAAGTCGTAACATCATGCGTTGGAGGCGGCGAGCACACAACAGACTTTTGCGCGGTATTGACTCCAATGGCTTGTGGTCGATTCCGGCGACCTTCCGTCCGTGAGACATACTGTTCAAATCGTTCCATGCCAAAGACAATCGCCAACATTTCTTTCTCTATCTGAGCATATTGTTTCTCAGTGTTGGTCAAAGATCGAGATGCATATGCTACAGGCTGACCATTTTGGATCAGACAAACGCCCAGTCCATTTTGTGATGCATCACACTGAAGGCTTGTCTGCGGCGTCATTGTCAAAGTACTTCAGTACAGGTGGTTCCGACAGAATATGTTTGATTTTTCCAAACACTTGCCATGAACTTGCTCATCCCACCTGAAGTTCACATCACTTTTCAACAGATCCCTCAGAGGTGCAGTCACTTCAGACAAGTTGGGTACAAATTTCTGAACAAAGTTCACCATCCCTAAAATCGCTGAATACCCTGCTTATCCGTTGGTGTGGGCATGTTTGTGATTGCTTCAACTTTCATGTGATCAATCTTTAATCCATCCGAGGTTACGACATGTCCCAGATAAGGCACCTCGGTCAGTTTCAGTTTCAGTTTGGATCTGTTCAGTTTGATATTTCTGTTCCTGCATCGATCAAGGAACTTGGACAACTTCTCATCATGATCAGCTTCAGCCACTTCATAAGTGTCTCCAACACCATAGATCAGAACATCATCATGTACAGCACGTACTCCATCCAAACCACATATTGCCTCATTCAAACGGCGCTGAAACTCCTCAGGGTGCTGGTGACAACCGAATGGCATTAAGAGCCAGCGATAACTTGGCCCCAAGGTGTTTCAAATGTTGTCAAGAAACTGCTTTCCTCCTCAAGCTGGATATGCCAAAATCCATTTTAGCATCTGCTAAAATTAAAGCACTTAGCGTTTGATAATTCCGCAGAATGTCATCAATTGTCTTTATTGGATAATGATTCCTCTTGAGAGCTTGATTCAGTGGTTTAGGATCTATGCAAATCCTTATCTTGTCAGTACCCTGTTTCTTGACCACAACAAGGGCAGAGATCCAGTCAGTAGGAACATTCACAGGGGTGATGATCTTCAGATCAGCCAGTCTTTCAAGTTCAGCCTTGAGTTTCTGTTGTAAGGCAAGTGGAACCTTACGACATGGTAGCTGGACTGGTGTCACAGTCTCATCTACTTCAAAGCGCAACAAGCCATCAAGTGTGCCCTCTCCCTCAAATACATCCTTGTAGCGATGGATTATGTCCGTAAGGTCCAATCTTGCTAACTCTGTAGAAACATCCCCACTACCTGAGATCTGGAAAATGTTCTCAAAGTTCACAGTGATTAGCTGCATTTGTTGAACAGCTATTGCACCAAGTATTGGTGGTGAGCCTCTGTCCCTCGTTATCAAGAATTCAATGGTGTATTCACCCTGATTCCTGGGATTTTTGACAGTCACTTCACACTTGCCAACAGTTTGAGATTTCACTCCATTGTACATTCGAAGAGTAGTATTGACCTGTGTTTCCAACTTTTCCAGGTGGGGATCCTGAAACACATTAGCGTAGATAGTCTCTGGCAACACATTGACAGTAGATCCACAATCTAGCTGAAATTTGACCTCAGTTTCCTTGATGAGGAGGACAGCAAAAATCTTCCGTAAATACTGTTGACTTTCACCATGTAATTGAACACTGTTCACATTTTCAACATCCACTGATAAAATATATTCATCCTCAGTATCCTCATCACTCAGTAGTTGAACATTGGCTTGACTCGACTGGCACACATAAGCAAAATGATTTGGTGGAGTTTACATTTGTTGCAAATTCTTCCCCATGCTGGACATTCCTTCCTGCCGAACACATGACTCGTCCACACAAAATTTGCACTGTAGAGACTGATCACTTCTGGTAGTCAATCAGGTTTAGTTTCCTTTCCTTTGGGTTTTGTAACCTCTAGTTTTACTGATAGCTTGCACATCCTCAGTGTTTGATAGAGATTTTAGTCTAGCAGCTGCTCTCTCATGGGACCTACAGATGTCAATACAATCTTTCAGTGATAGGTTCGAAGACTGCAGCAGTCTCTTGCGCGAGTGGAGTTATCACAAATGCCCATCACCATTCGATCCCTGATGAGACTATCTTCAAGCGTTCCATAATTGCATGTTTTAGCTAGAGTCCTAAGTGTTGCTACATAAGTATCAACAGATTCAAAGTGTTCTTGATTCCGTTTGTTGAAATTGAACCGTTCCCATGTTTCATTGGTCTGCATCCAATGCAGTAAGCTTCTAGTTTGTCCAATATTTTCTCGACTTTCCTCCTATCATTTTCACTGTCGAACTGCAACCCATCCAATATGTCTAGAGTCTCAGAACCAATACAAGTTAACAGCGTAGCTGATCTGCATTCATCAGAATCTGTCTTTGTTAGAAAGCAAGCTCATAGTTTCCCCACATTAGGTTTTGAACTTTATGAAATTTCTCGTCAAATCGCCCTTCAGATCAAGCTTAGGAGGCAAAGGAATGTTCATAGAATGCGTGTATCACTTGTGGTGAAGGAATATTTCCACTTTCATCAGCCATGATTGAGTAGTAGTAGCAGTAGTTTAAGCTTGTCCATATATTACTCCGACTAGCAATATAATCCGATTCACAGAAACTCCGTTAGTCACAGATTCAATATTGTCACACAAAACACCGCATGCTCTCCACTATCGAAATTAGGTGACACTGAACCACGTGCGTCTCGGCTCTTTCAATCAAAAGATATTCAGTCAGTAATGCACAATAATTTGTAAAGTTTGTCAGACGTACTCACTTCTGACACCATGTTAAGTTATATGTCATGTCTGGAGATGTCCTAGGAAGACTCAGATAACATGAAACTGTGGTGGGAGACGAACACTTTATTCCATGTTGGTTTTGCCTTGGCCTACACAGACGCACGCTGCCCATGGACCAGTCGTTGTGTACAGACTCTTAGGGAGTAATCATTATGCAACATGTGAAACTATGTATGATTTTCATCCAAAATGTTTTGTTAACGCAAGCAAAATTCATGCCTGTAGAGACACTTCTTTAATGTTTCAAATGGGTTATAATCATGATAATACGTGCGAACAGCTGCACATATTTATTTATAATTAATATAACGGATAATGCATATATCAATGCACACTTGATTACATGTCCAAAAATACTTGAATGCAGCCTGTTTCATTTAAAAAAAATCTATTCCATTATCCACAGTTCATTTGAAAAAGAAATCCTGATTTGTTTCAGTTCTTTCACTTTCATTGTTTTTGTGGAAATGTAATGTCACATTTCAATGTAATGTGCCACCTTTGTACAAGCTTTTGATACAATCTTCAATAATATTGTCTCGATACTATAGACCTATTCATTTAACTAGCTCCATTTATGAAGTGACAGAATCACCTGTACTGATCCATTTTTGTAACTTATCACAGAATATTAAGAGAGAAAGTTTGTTAGTTGGATATGCCTCTGTAGCAGGCCATGGAGTCATCCAACAGATGACATCCTGGAGTCATCCCACAGATGACATCCTTACCTTGTCAGCCTTCTGATACGGTTAACTTCTTTGGTCATGTGGACAAGGTGTCCAACCTTGTAGGCTTCACTTAACTTCGATGCCAAAGACCCGGGTTCAATTCCCCACATGGGTACAATGTGTGGAGCCCATTTCTGGTGTCCCCAACCATGATATTGCTGGAATATTGCTCAAAGCAGCATAAAACTAAACTCACTCACTCACTTAGCTTGGGCTTTGAACAAGCAATGGTAGTGAATGAGTCCCAAGTATTTATACTTTTACATTGAAAATAGGATATTCAAAGATGATTTGATTCAGCAAAATCTCTATATGACATGATACTTGTTTCCTGTGCAACAGATAACCCGTCATACCACTGAAACAAAAAAACAGAATGATGGACTAAGGGCAGATATCTGACCAAAACAAGATGGCGTCAACAGGACGTCGAATCTACCCCTCTGAGGACATGACAGCACAGCGGCCACGGTTATGGAGGGGGGCTCCAGTCTCGTATGTCCGATATACCACCAGAACCTTTGGCACCATATGTGACTCTTGAAGACGCTAGATACTCAGACATTCGTAAACGGATTGGACTTCCAAGGCTTCCGACACGAACATCAACTCTTCAAGATGGTTATGAGCAAGTACGTACTGTTTTCAAGAAACAATATTTCTCCTTTCACTCCTTTCTCCAGACATAGTTATTTTGGGGATAGGATCCAGACTATTTTAACCACAGTGTCAAGTGTTTGGTTTAACTGGAGACCAAATGATTTATTTTGGTATATTCTGAAACTATAGTGCCAAACCAAGTTCCCCCAAGAATATTTTATTATCTGAGTCGCATAGAGAGATTTTAAGAAACATAGTTTTTTTTCCTGACTTGAGTTTGAGTAGTCTTTAAATATTTGCAGAGGGGTCCTATTGTGGTAACCATGATGACAGAATGAGTTTTATTCCAGGTGTTGGAAGAACAGACAGATTTCATCAGGAGACATTTCCACATGAAAGAGTGCAAGAAGTTTGTGCCAAAACCAGACCAGAAGGTGAAAATTGTGAAAGATCTGAAGTAAGTGGAAACAACACAATCGGTAGACTGTAGCTGTGAAGATAGCTTACTGTAAATCATTAAATTAATACGTCACCATTTTAATGCGAGTGTGCGGGGTCTAGTCTAAAATGCATCACAAAATTAATGCGAGCTCGGGAATCTGATGATAAAATGTGACACCCTGAATCTTTGATGTTGTTCATTTTCTTTTCACACTTGTTTACCAAATAACCTAAATTCAGCTTATTAAGCAACGAATGGAAATGAGCTGACGATGTTTTGATTAAACTGCCATGTTTGATCACGTGATTGCTTGCTACTACTTGTCTTATGACAACATTTATAAACGTAATCCGACTTGAAAGACACAAGTCATCTTACCAAGGTACAACAAACACGTGGCTGGAGAATGTCTGGTCTGGCTGATGTGCTTGAGTGACTTTAAGCAATGACCAGTGATTGTAACCAGTGATAATTTCATGTGGTTTGAGATACCTGTAATGAGGAAGTGACCTGTATTGGTGTAATGTGTAGTGTCAACAGATTTACGTTTTCTGTCTTTTATTAAGTTCTCAAAAGTAGACATGGTCACACTGAAATGCATCATTATAATAATGCAAGAAGAGTACAGACACATTTTTCGCATTAATAAAATGCTTGCATTAATTTTTCATGATTTACAGTAATCATATCCAATGAGACTTGAGATATCTGTCGTTGAATTTTTATAAAACACACTTAATACAGCATGTCTTGTTTCATATATACTTAATGCTAAAACAACAGTTTCTTGGACAAACACTTCTGAACAGTGAATTTGGTGTTGGCATCAGTTAATGTTCAACAGTTGATGATACTGGAAGAAATTGTAAAATGCTAATTGTAAACAGATGCATTTTACAAATGTTTTTTTATATTGTTTATTCAATTTTGGTAAATTAGGAAATGAATCTCAGCTTAACATGAAATTTGTAATACTGTTGATAATAATTACTAAATCATTGAGATCTGTCACACCATAAGAGTGAGTGAGTTTAGTTTTATGCCGCACTCAGGAATATTCCAGCTATATGGCTGTGGTCTGTAAATAATCGAGTCTGGACCAGACAATCCAATGATCAACAGCATGAGCATCGATCTGCGCAGTTGGGAACCGGTGACATGTGTCAACTAAGTCAGAGAGTCTGACCACCCGATCCCATTAGTCACCTCTTATGACAAGCATGGGTTACTGAAGATCAATATTCTAACCCGGACCTTCACGGGTCTCACACCATAAGAAGAAGAATGCCTTTGTTTGAGGAAATAATAAATTAATTGTGAGAATATCATTAGCTATTATGTGTTTATCGCGGTCTGTGCCAAAAAGATTTTAACTTGGCCCTCAGCATCTTTTCTAGTATATATTATTATTGTTAACATATTAACTTTGATCATCTGAGCTGACTAGACCAAACAGAATACTACTTGGCTCTAGCTTTGGACTAGTTGCTAAAGTTTCAGTCTGTTGGCTATATATCCTAGTATATAGGTTGCATATGGTATACGGGCAAATGTCTATGTTCAGTCTTGACCAATGCAACCCTTTGAACATTCTGTCCATGCTTGGGAACTCAGTGCATATGATAAGAATGATTTTCCTAATAGTGATACTGAAAGCCAGCTTTGAGCTTGTAGACTAACAGGCACAGATTGTATGCTACACAGCCCTCATGCTGACTAAAAACTCAGAATTTACTCACAGTAGGGCCTGTAAGTCTCGCGAGGCGCTACTTCCTGTACTAAGCTGGTTAATTCCTGGTTCCCCTTGCGCGGAACAACTTGCGATATGCGAGACGGGGCCCAACTTACTTCCGGTACCAGATTTCCGGGTGACAAGTGTGTATTCAAGAACCAGTTCTGGTTCCAAATTGCGTGACTGCCAAATATGACTTACTAAACCGGACCAAGTGTACAACCATGCTTGGCTGTCACAGCTGTTGACAGTTGTAATAGTTGTCTAATTTGGGGATGGTTAGATGAGAAATTTATCATTCCTGCAAGGATTATCGGTTCAATACTGTCAATTGACAACCATAAGACCATTTGAAAAAGCCGGTATGTTTGTCACCGGAAGTACTAAACAACAGAAGGTCTCGTGAAGGTTTCACATGTTGGCAAAATAGGCACAAGAAACAAACGTCTCCTGGCATTCTTTGTAACTGCACGGAGACAAATGCTTCTTGTGCCTATTTTGCCAGCATGTGAAACTTGTTTTAAAATACCACTGATATAGCTACGAGATAACTCGTAGACCCGGGATCCATTCCCCACATGGGTACAATGTGTGAAGCCCATTTATGGTGTCCCCTGCCGTGATGTTACTGGAATATTGCTAAAAGCGGCGTAAAACCATACTCACTCACTCTCAGCATTAAGGGGATCAAACAAGGGCTGGCTGGCTGGCTGGCTAAGTGTCAGTGTACTCTGAATGGGGTAGCCATGTGTCATTATGAAGCATGTTATCTCAGTGGTATCACTGTAAACCCAGCATTAATCTTAACAAGCAGCCACACAAACACACTTTCATACATGTTGCTATAGATACGCAATAATCTGGAACATGATGTTAAAGCCATGTTTCCCTTTCCTCCCTTTGTTTTAGATGGGAGGTTTACCATATTTACAGACCTTAGGACTTTGGTGCTAAATTCTAATGCTATTTTTTTTATTAATGAAAGCTGAAAGTTAGACTATAATTTACTTTACTTTTTGTTCTGACCATGATAATTGCTCAGTTTTCCCAGATCTTCATAATTGCCTCTATTTGGAGTTGACATTCTGCGCAGTAAACCTTTCAATGAGTATGTCGGTAAAGATATTGTCTGCACTGTGCAGATGTCACTGTGGGGAAATCTTGTACAACCATGCTGGCTTGAGGAAAACAACCAGACCCAAGAACATGGTGACCAATGACCTGGAGTTTGCCCATTCCTTTCTTGTACCTGCAGGTAAGTTGTCACTGTTGTGATGTACATTTCTATTTAGTCTTTGAAGGGCATTTAGATGTGAAAACACATAACTTCAAGAATTTTATGGATGTCAACTTCTTTATTGTGAAGGGTCACGACGTTTCGAAGTATATTCTTACTTCTTCATCAGGTAATGATGTCACTACTATGTTATATTGTGTTGGGCTCATTCTTAGTGTTATGAAAGCCTCGATAATTCTTAGTGTTATGGAAGCCTCGATCATTCTTAGTGTTATGGAAGCCTCGATCATTCTTAGTGTTATGGAAGCCTCGATCATTCTTAGTGTTACGTTAGCCTCATTCTTAGTGTTATGGAAGCCTCGATCATTCTTAGTGTTATGTTAGCCTCATTCTTAGTGTTATGGAAGCCTCAATCATTCTTAGTGTTATGCTAGCCTCATTCTTAGTGTTATGGAAGCCTTGATCATTCTTAGTGTTTTGCTAGCCTCATTCTTAGTGTTATAGAAGCCTCGATCATTCTTTGTGTTATGTAAAAGCCTCATTTTTAGTGTTATGGAAGCCTCGATCATTTTTAGTGTTATGCCTTACTCATTCTTTGTGTTATGGAAGCTTTGATAATTCTTAGTGTTATGCTTGGCTCATTCTTAGTGTTAATCAAGTCTCTTTATTAGAGTATTCCTGGGCTCATTGTTTACGTAAAAGTAAAGTCACAAAGACATAGTTGATGTTTGGAGGCATTAAATGTTTTTCCTATGTTTTCAGAGTATGTGGATATGGTGAAGAATGAACGAGCCAAGCCGCCGGAAGAGATGCCAAAAGTGTCATGGTCTGCGGACCAAGCCATTCAGACATTTACAACAAATGCTTTTGGCAAGATTTCATTCGACATAGAGCAGATTGGGGGCATGAAGCCAGCTAAGGTAAATTGTGATAATATATGCATCTTGAATAAAACCTTTTTAACATTTTGTTCTCACAATTAATTCATTGTTAATGTATTAGGTGGCGTAAATAAGTTGCAAGATTTGGCTGAATACCTTTCTGATTGATTGAAATATCTTTAAAGGGGCAGATACAGCTAGAAAGGGAGAGGGGGTGGGCACACTCTTGAGAAGTGGGGGATGCACACTTCAATTTCACCCATTTTCACGAGAGTTTCGATGGTCATTTAATAAACATCAGGACAAAAGTAGGGTGTGCACCCCTGCATCCCCCCTCTGAATCCGCCTATGTCTTTACCAGTGATGTTGTGTATAGTGTTGTCAATGCAATAAACCTATCTGATAAACTTGTTTTAATGATATGATAAATATGCAGATGAATCCAAGCAGGAACTACTTTTCCAAAGCTCTGTGCATGGATGTAATATCTACTTGCTGAATAACAAATGGTCTCAGTTGGTTTAGGCCATCGATGTACTTCACTGCGGAAGACAGACTTTCCAGAAAAGCATCAAGGGCAGATGACCGATATGTTATGATCCAAGCCCTTCAGAACTGATTCACAACTGCCTGTGCCCAGTTGCCACAAGCTGCATGGGAAGTCTGTCTTCCACATGCACTAGGCTGTTGTGTTTGGGCGTTTGAATCAAACATGGTGCTGGTGTGTTTCAGCATCATTTTTTTTTCGCTGTTTTTAACAATGTTTCATTTCACTCAAACTCAACGGATATTGAATAAGTTGCTTCACTGCATGTTCCAACATATCGTTTAAAGTGCCTATTAAGCACACAAAAAGTTGCATTTACCTTGGAGTATAAATGACCTCACCACGTTTCAGTTTATATACGACTATCAATTCTTTTTCATAGAGATTGTCCTTGAAGTACATATATGCATTTTCTGTGGCTGAAAATGTCATGTGACAGTTGTATCAATGTTTTAATAAAATACTGTACAATAAATAAAAATCTTTTTTTATCTATTATACGACCCCCACCACGTGGAGTTACCTCCCTGCTATGCATGCACAGCCAACCAGGTAAGCACCTAGGCCCATATCATCATTCCTTCTGCTGTCACTCAAGCGTTCACACGTATTTACAACCTGAGTAACAAGCTGATTTACTTCTTGTAGAAGAATGTCTGAGACTTCAACACAACTGTATGTATGGTCTTTATTTCGTTCTTGGAAATGAAAAAGAACAGTTTAATTGACTTTGCAGTCTGTTATTTCTCATTTATTTGACTTTGTATTAAACTTTTACGCTAGCTTTCCCGTGGTTTACGCACGTGTTGCTATTCCATGGCGGGAAGTTTAGCGTGCCAAGTGGTTGTCATATTGCGTTATTAACCAAGTATTTCATGTCCCGTGGTCGCATTCACGTAATTTTCAATGTTTTGTAAGTATATTTATGCTGCTGGTTCCGGTGTTAGCTACATGCTTGCGTGTTTGCTTTCAGGCGTTTACTGGGTGTTCTGTCTGCGGGCAGACTATCCCTAGAGCCGACAAGCATGATAAATGCTTGTGCTGCTTAGAGAAGGCGGGACATAACCCTGATGTCTGCAAAATCTGTATGGCCTTTTCCCCCTGGGCCCAGAAGAGAAGGGCGGCGGATTTCCTTTTCTATAAGGAATTGCGAGAGGCGGGAGGGGAACTTACCCAGGTGGTCCCCCCGTCCAAAGCCAAAACAGCCAAACCAGCTAAACCTAGGTCTTCGCATAAGTCGCATTCCCAATGTAGTGGTTTTGATATGTCAATAATCACTCAATTGTTTCAGCAGCACATGGACTCCGTGAAGTCCCTTGTTCATCAGTCCGTTGGAGGTCTCCACCAGGAGTTCCTTGCCCACTCTGAACAGGGGACCGAGAGTTAGGGGGTGGGATCGCCGAGCCCGGCTCGATCCCTTAGCCTGGAGGCGACTGTCGATCCTTTGCCTTTGGCTTCGGGTCCAGACACCTCGGCTACCCTGGAGGGGGAGGGTTCTCTCCCAGTCCCCCTCTCGGTGCTGGCGCAGGGTCCGTTGAGGATTCCTGGGGTTCCTGTCCCTGCGCCACCCCGCCCCATGAGAGCGGAGGAGTTGGTTCTGCCCGGTCTTCCTCCCGTGTCTTGGGACTGGGGTTTGAGTAGTGTGTCGGTTGCCGGGCCGGGGAGCTCCATCGGCTATTCCCTTCCCTCGGTGTCTGGGGCTCGGCCTCCCACCGGGTCGGGGTTCGGATCCTCTTCATGAGGAGACCCGAATTCTGACTCGGGCTCGGGTGCCGAGTCTAGGGCTTCCACGGGTACTCGAGTACTCGAGGATGAGTCGGGTTTAGCTGGACTCGAGTCCATTTTCTAGGACTCGAGGACTCGAAAAGGGGAGATAACTCAAATTATTGGGTTACATTGACAGACTGTCTGCCATGTGCTGAGCATGAGCGGCCGTTAACGTCTAATATTAAGATAAGATATAACTTTATTATCCCGGAGGAAATTCTCATACATCCAAACTGTCTCAAAATGAATATGTACACAATTCACAACAATATACACAATACATAATTACATGCATAAAACGAAAGCTATTTACACAATAAAACTGACATGATATAATTCAATTAACCACATAGGTAAAGAGGCTGCATAATTCTAGTTGTTATCACATGGTGATAATTCAAAATATTTGTTGCATTCACGAATACTTGGTGGTATGAAAGACTGTGAGGTCTGTTTGTTTTGAGGGAAGGTAATCGACAGCAGCGTCCAGAAAGAAGTACTTCAAAATGGTGAGGTAAAATATGTTAACTATCAAATCTAATTTTAGTTGCCTTTTTGACAATCTGGCTCATAGATAAAGGGAATATACTCGAAATTCTGTTGGCAGTATTAACAATTTTGAAAAGTTTGTTTTTGTTGCGATCAGACGGACCCCCATACCAACATAGAAAATTGTAGGTCAACACTTTGAATAAAGGTTTGATGAAAACTGTCATTACGGTTTTGTCAATGCCTTGACGATAATAAGGTTCAGAATCAGAAATTTGGCCAGTAACAGTGGCGTCATCTGAGAATTTCACAGTAAACAAGTCATTTAATGACAAGTAACAGTCATTGGTATACAAAACGAAGAGTACGGATGAAAGAACACGGTCCTGTGGAGCTCCAGTAGAGGTTGAGAGGAAAGAAGATTGATAGCCATTGACCCTGCCATACTGAGTTCTCTGTACCCTGAATTCTTTAACCCATCTGATAATGATTTTATTAACGCCTAGATTAAGTAGTTCACTCCTCATAAGGTGTGGCTGTATGGTATTAGTTGTTAAAGTCTGCAGATGAGAGTAATTATTATACAGCGTTTGAGATTTCACTTCCTAAAATAATTAGGTAACTATCTTAACAGACATGGAGAACGATAAAAATCAAATGTATGGGCGATCTTGATCTGGATAGTGAAAAGAGAAAATAACCAAATGCCGCCTATGCGGTATATCACTGCGTTATGCAGGCAGTACAACCAGTACGATGAAAAAACAACATTTGGCAAGTAAACATCCAAATACTGATTCTGACCAATAGGAAATGTTAGTCACACGACGATATGAAGTCGGAAAGAAGCGTGCACTTGTGTGGTCGCAACACATGTCATGTCGTTTGTTTGAAAGGTATGAATTTCGAGTACTCGGGTCCGAGTCGAGTCTCACCCCTCGAGTACTCGAGTCCAAGAAAATGGACTCGTTGAAGCCCTAGCCGAGTCTATGGACGTTAGGGAGGTCGAGGAGCCGGAGGGCACATTCCGTTTCTCGTCGGCTCTCCGGGAGGTTAGGCAACGTATTGCCGAGTATATGCCCCAAGCCGCGGTACCCACATGTCACTCGGACTCAGCTGTGTTCCGCCTGCCGGGCGAGGCGTTTGCCCCTAGGCAACCCTCGCAGACACTGCTCCGTAGCTTGCCATCCCTGGTGCCGGACGTGATGGATCCCTCCTGGTTGGGACACGCCTTCGGTTCGATTTACCCAAACTCGTTAAGAGGTACCAGCTGTGGGAATATTCTCTGTTCTTTGTGCCGGTGGTTGACGAGTGCGTGTTCACTTCGGTCGCCCTCAGGGGAGGCTCGGCTTCCTCAGGTGCAGCCCCGGCTGCCAAGCAAGGGCGTTTAGTTCCACCGTTTGCCCTCGCGGGCGCCCCCCTGCAACAGGCATACCGGACTTATGAGGAAGTCTACCGGAATGCCATGCAGCAGGTGTGGGTAGTGGTCCATGAGGCCTACCTTTCCTCTATTCAAAGGTCGGCTCTGGAGGCGGAAGGGGGCACTGGGGACGTTTCCCTGCATGTTGTTCATCTTCGCTAATTGTCCGGAGTGCAGGCCCACCTGGCTAGAGACTCTTTGCGGTCTGCCGCGTCTACGGTGCTGTGCGCAGTCATGGGGATGCGCAAGCTGTGGCTGTCTACGTTCCATTACTCGGCAGCGACATAGCAGACCTTGCTGGCCCTTCCGCTCCGGCTGGGAGCGACATTGTTTATGGGGGCACAGCAGGTCATTCGGGAGGCTGCTGCAGCAGCTACCTCCTTCAAGGACTCTAAGGCCTTGTTTGAGCAACTGTAGGCTTCTCGGGTTCTGTAGCGGGTTCTTCCTCCGGGGCGCAGCCTACGCCTGAGTCTGCCGGCTGGCTTCGGCCACTGGGCAGAGGTTGGAGGAGGAGCCGTCCCGCCAAAGGTAAGGGCAAGGAGCAGGCCTCTTTGTCTGGCTCCCAGCAGCCTTTTTGCGGTCGCAGGGTGTCTGTCCCGACCTCCTGTTAAACCTGCAGGCTGTCACCGTGGGTCCGTCCCAGTCAGTTCGTCTGCAAGGGGCCACCCACGCCCTCTTACCACACGTCCCAGTGGGGGGCCGCCTCTCTCTATTCCTGCCGGCGTGGGAGAAGGCTACCAGCAACACTTGGGTGCTATCCACCGTCAGTGTCGGCCATCTACCACTGTGGAAGCGAGGCCCGCCAGAGTTCACCGGCATACGTCGCACTCTGGTGCCGTCATGTCCGGTCAAGGCGGGTATCCTGCGAGACGAAGTTCAGGCTTTGCTGGACAAGTCCGCAATAGAGCGCATACCACCGGGCGAGGAACAGGCGGGATTTTTTTTCTACACGTACTTCCTCGTTCCGGAGAAGGACGGCGGGTTCCGTCCCATTCTCAACCTTGCATGCTAGACGGTGCTCCCCTTCGGCATATCAACTGCCCCCAGGGTGTTCACCAAGCTCATGTTAGTGCCAGCTACCCTCGCAAGGTCACAAGGAAGGCGTTGTTACCCTTACCTATACGACTGGTTGCTCAGCGCTCTCACTCAGCCAGCGTGCCTAGATTCTACCCACACGGTGATAGACATTCTAGTTCGACTGGGATGGATCATAAACCTCAAGACATCCGACCTGGAACCACCCAGGACTTGGTTTTTCTCAGGGCGCGGTTCACAACTCACAAGGGTCTTGTCTCTTTGTCGCCCGACCGGGTCACCAGAGTACGGGAGATGGTGTCTTCATTCCTCTCAGCCCCAGGCACCAGCGCGGACTTGGCTCCGTCTACTGGGTCATATGGCGGCGACTATCTCTGTAGTGTGGCGGGCGCGGTTGAGGATGCGCACTATACAGCAAGCTTTGGCGAGTCCTGTGGGCTCACTCGGAGGATCTGGAGCAGTGTCTCACAGTCCCTGGGTGGTCTCCTCACCTTCATTGGTGGACCAATGTCGGGAATTTCTCCAAGGGGATCCCTTTGGAAATCCCGACGCCAGCTCTTACAGTTCAAACCGATGCGTCCCTCACGGGCTGGGGGGGTGTTCTGGGCAGTCTGTCGGTGTCCGGACTCTGGTCCGAAGCCGTAGCCCGCCTTCATATCAACGTCTTGGAACTGAGAGCTGTGCGGTTGGTTTTCAAGCGCTTCGGGGAGCATGTTCAGGGCCAGGTGGTTCGTCTTCAGTTGGACAACCGTATGGCCATGACATACATCCTGAAGCAAGGCGGCACGGTGTCCCTAGCGCTCCTTCGGGAGACGTGGGAATTTCTCCTCGGGTGCGACCAGTGCGACTGTCAGGTGCTTCCTCTTTCTCTCCCTGGGCTGGAGAACGTGCGAGCAGACGCTCTCTCTCGCTGGATCCTGGCCCCGCACGAGTGGATGCTCAACCGGCAGATATTTTGAGTTATCTCCCAGTTGTACGGATCGTTCCAGGTGGATCTGTTTGCGTCTGGCGGGACGAATCAGATACCCGTGTTCTGCTCTCGAATACCGGAGCAGAGGGCGTTGGCTTCCGACGCCTTCCTGCTGGATTGGACGGGCAAGGTGCTCTGGGCGTTCCCGCCACTACCACTCATTCCCCAGGTCCTCTCCCAGCTGTCCACCCAGCCAGCTCGCCTACTTGTGCTACTGGTACCGCTAAGGCCGTCACAGAGCTGGTTTCCGGTAATTCTCAGGTTTCTGGCTCGGGGACCTCTGCAACGAGCACTCACCCGTTGGCTGTCCGTAAGACTCTCAAGGTCTATATCACATGAACACAAAGGATCCGTACGGGTACCCATTTGTTCTGCTGTTACGGTGGCTGGAAGGCTGGGATGCCGGCTAGCAAACAGACCCTATCTTGGTCAGGGCAGTGGCCACGTCAAAGGCTTTTGGATCGGCACTACCCATTGACGAGATATGCTCTGCCACTATTTGGAGCAGGCCTAGCACTTTTATCAGGCACTAGCAGCTCGATACACATTCACGTGATCGTGCGCGTTTGGCAGTTCTGTTCTCTCCAGTGGACAGTGTCCTGCCACCCTGACCGAGTGAGTCTTGGTTATCTGGTTAGTTGACGCTGCTTTCAATTGCGTATTATTGATATATCCGCTGGTATCATATCCAACTCCTTTCGATTCTCTCCGGAGATTATGGTCTGTTTTGATTTGGTTTTTACCCCTTACGGTGCTCTCTAATAGATCATGATGTGGGCGGGTTTTTTTACTTTCGCACCCCCCCCGCAATTCTGTTCACTGATTTATTAAGCAGAAGGAATGATGATACGGGCCTAGGTGCTTACCTGGTTGGCTGTGCATGCGTAGCAGGGAGGTAACTCCACGTGATAGGGGCCGTATAATAGATACAAAAGATTTTTATTTATTGTACAGTATTTTATTAAAACATTGATACAACTGTCACATGACATTTTCAGCCGCAGAAAATGCATATATGTACCCCAAGGACAACTCTCTTCAAAGAATTGGAAACCTCTACAGGTTTAGCTAAATTTTAGGGTGTTCTCTCAGAGATTATTACAGTCATGGGTGTCCTCTTTGTATATATCCTTTTATGATATACTATGATACAGAAACATATTTTGTGGATAATTTCTATTAAAAAATAAACTTACCAATTTACAACAGTTGTTGAAATGAGATTTCCTTGAAAACTACTTCCAGACTAGATAATATCTGCTGGTGTCGAGTGAAAGTCAATATGGGTCACTCTTCTACTTCAGTATGCATATCTTGATACTGCTTAATACTTCCTAGAGCATTCATTATTGTTTTATTCTGATAAATTAGTCTGTGAAACCAAATAGTCTGAATATTCAAGGTACAAAGTGCAGCTATTAACATCGCTCACTCTTTCCAACACATTACCAAGTACTGTTAACGATTGATGTTCATGGTAAACCTTTTTCTGTTATAGTACATCCGAGTGGCTTCCACAGATTCTGAGATACATGTCATGGAGATGATGCTGAAGTACTGGAGAATACTGGAACCAGTTCCTCCCAAACTTGTCATCTCCGTCATAGGTGGGGCCAAGAACTTCAAACTGGATGGTAGAATGAGGGACACCTTTAACAGTGGTCTTATCAAGGTAAACAAGCTTTCCTTGTTGTCAAGCTGCAGTGATTTTTTTTAGTACAATTACTTTTAGGAATATTCAACAACGTAACTGTTGAAGGACACGATAAATTTCAATATAGCCTTCACATTTAGATCCAGAAATATATGAACAGTATCATTGTATGATATTCCTCCAGCGCTTCAGTCGGATTTGGCAGTGGGGTAGCCTAGTGGTTAAAGTGGTTTGCTCATAACACCTACAACATAGGTTTGATTCCTCACATGGGTACAATGTGTGAAGCCCATTTCTGGTGTCCCCTGCCATGATATTGTTGGCAGCGGCGTAAAACCATACTCACTGCACTTACAGCCAGATCACAGGGCAGACAACTCTTAAAACTTGCCTGCTGTGTCAATAAGGTCTTCATTTGACATGGAGCCCTCGTGATATGAAGTGAATAAAAATAACAGCAGTGTCTATTAATTCAATATACATTTTATGGCCATGACATATGACATGTTTATACCTATAAAAATAACTTCATTTCGATTTGTAAGGGAAACTTGTAAACTTACTTTGTGTGGTATGATGTCTTTGCAAGTCAGGTTTTTGTTGTTGTTATAGGCTGCCAAGACGACGTCTGCGTGGCTGATCACGTCGGGCTTCAACATGGGTGTGATGAAGGCTGTGGGCCAGGCCGTCCACGAAGGGCAAACCTTCCAGTGGGACAACGACAGGATGACACATGTACTGCGCTGTATAGGTATCGCCCCCGTGGGGCTATGTGAAGGGCAGACACTTCCTGGAAAGCTCTGATGGAAGGGTAATGATATATTTCACAATTGAAAACAAAATAATGTGAACAAATTTTGTGGATAACGGAGCAGAATTGGTGACTAAATCTCAAGAGCTGACTTTTATGATTGGTTTGTCAGTGTGTGATTCCTTGATTCCCAAGAATTACTTAAGAACTGACTTGAACAATTGAATGGTCCATCCAGTCAATCAGTGATATAACACTTCAAGACTCGGTGGTGGGGTATCCTAGTCATTTAAGCGTTCGTCCGTCATGCCGATGACCTGGGTTCGATTCCCCACATGGGAACAATATGTGAAGCCCATTTCTGGTGTCCCCCGCTGTGATATTGCTGGAACAATGCTAAAAGCAGCGTAAAACCAAACTCACTCACTCCAGACTGAGATATTATGCTGCTTGTCCGTGTCAAATCTATTTGAGGTTACTGCTCTTTGTTTGATTAACAGCTGATTGTATCCCAGATTATGGAATGTATCGGTCTTTTGTCAACTTTAACCGTGTGGAGCACGGTGATGTAGTGGTTAGCATGCTGGATGCATTCGAATCCCGGTGGAGACACCAAAATTTGTGATCTAGGTCTCATTCTGTGTTCTGTCCTTGGGCAAAGCACTTCATCCACATTGCACTCAGTCCACCCAGCTGTTCTAAATGGGTACCTGAGAAGCGGATGTACGGACCTATTCGGTCGCGCTTAGTAGCAGCTTTGAAAGTATCATTCCGTCAGGGTAATAATGTAATGCCAGAGAGCAGCATCGTGTTGGGTTCTAGGCTCAAAAATTGGCATTATTATTATTATTATTATTTTCAAATTTGTCATCTATGCTGTCTATATGGCTGATATAAGCATACAGTGTTTGAGAACTGTCTATGTGTTATACCAGGGTAAGTTCAATGCCAACTACCGGACAAGCAACACTATCCTCCACGGTCAGCCAGTCCATCTCAATGCTGACCACACCCACTTTATATTTGTGGATGATGGAATGAGGAACAGGTATGGAGGAGTAGCAGACTTTCGGGCCAAGTTCGAGGAGAACATCATGTCGTGTGAGTTTCTTGATTCTTCCATATAATCTGAAGTGTGCTCTAAATATTGGATTAAACCCATGATGGAAAAAGATTTGCTTTTAAAGGTGTATGTTGCAAGGTGAGGTTAAATGGGTTTTTTTCATCTCTTTGAAAATTATTGTATTAACAATTAACCTGTGAGTGTGTGGCAGTTTTCTGTTGGTCCAGGATTGTTGGACTTATGCCTCAGTGACAAAAAAAATATGTGACTTTTTTTAAACCCTGCCTGGTTCTCATCAAGGACTGGTTGCCTCAGATGATGAACCCATTTTTTTGTTTCCAGACACTTGTATATTTTAGATGTAATGATTATGATCAACTATGATTATAACTAACTAAAATAGTGGTCCCTTTGAGGGGCGGTGGGTAGCCTAGTGGTTAAAGCGTTGGCTCGTCATGCCGAAGACCCAGGTTCAATTCCCCACAGTGGGCACAATGTGTGAAGCCCATTTCTGGTGTCCCCCGTCGTGATATTGCTGGAATATTGCTAAAAGCGGCGTAAAATCTAAACTCAGTCAGTGAGTGAGTTATAGCTGTAGTGTACTGTATATGATGATTATGATTGAAAGGGGAAGTTGGTGCTACCAATGTGTTCTTACTCTGCAAGGTTTAGGGACAGTGGGGTGGTCAAGTGGTTAAAGCATTCGCTCATCACACCGAAGACCTGGGTTCAATTCTTACATGGGTACAATGTGTGAAGCCCATTTCTGGTGTTTCCCACGGTGATATTGCTGGAATATTGCTAAAAGCGGTGTAAAGCTATACTCAACTCACTCTGCTAAGGTTAATGGAGTCATGGAATCAGTATTCCTCTGCATTGTTCACTGCCTGTATGGTTTTGCATCTGTTTCCAGCAAGGGGCATCCCTGTGGTGCTGGTGGTGGTGGAGGGTGGCCAGGATGCCCTCATGGATGCCGCCACGTCCTTGAAGCAGGGCATCCCTGTGGTGGTGTGTGCTGGAACCGGGAGAGCAGCGGATATTCTCGCCTATGCTTTTACCCACACAGTTAAATCACCCAGGTAGGTTGCAATGCATGTACTTGTACCATATATTACCGTCTGTAAGACGACCCCATGGATAAGACGACCCCCTTCTTTTGACTGGTTTTTTTGGTCCTCAAAATTTGGCTTATAGACGGTAATATATGGTACACTTAAAGTAAGGTGCTGTATGCCCTCAACACACCAATGTGAGTTGCTATGTGTTTGCCAATATATCTAAGGCAAGTAGCTCTGTGTTCCGAAGTATATTTAAGGTGAGTCTAAGGCCCCCAGCTGAGTATTTACCTGTACATTTAAGGCACTATGCATTTACCTGTATGGCACCCATGAATCGCTTCATTTACCTTATGTTTAAGGCACCCATGTGAATTTCTTTGCATTATCTGCTCATTTAAGGCACCCATGTGAATTCTTTGCATTAATCTGCTCATTTAAGGCACCCATGTGAATCTCTAATTTACCTGTACGCAAGGCCCATGTGAATCATTATGCATCTACCTGTACATTTAAGGCATCCATGGCACCCATGTGAATCTCTATCCATTTACCTGTACGTTTAAGGCACCCATGTGAATCATTATGTACCTGTACAATCATTAATGCATTTACCAATATCGTAAGGCACCCATGGAATCGCTTATTTACCTGGCACCCATGTGAATCTCTATCCATTTACCTGTACGTTTAAGGCACCCATGTGAATCTCTATCCATTTACCTGTACGTTTAAGGCACCCATGTGAATCTCTATGCATTTACCTGTACGTTTAAGGCACCCATGTGAATCATTATGCATTTACCTGTACGTTTAAGGCACCCATGTGAATTTCTTTGCATTTACCTGTACGTTTAAGGCACCCATGTGAATCATTTGCATTTACCTGTATCATTTAAGGCACCCATGTGAATCTCTATGCATTTACCTGTACGCTTAAGGCACCCATGTGAATCTCTATCCATTTACCTGTAAAGGCACTTATGCTTAAGGCACCCATGTGAATCTCTATCCATTTATGCATTTGTACCATATACCTGCTTTAAGGCACCCATGTGAATCTCTATCCATTTATGCATTTACCTGTACGCTTAAGGCACCCATGTGAATTTCTTTGCATTTATCTGCTCATTTAAGGCACCCATGTGAATCATTATGCATTTACCTGTACGTTTAAGGCACCCATGTGAATCTCTATCCATTTACCTGTACGTTTAAGGCACCCATGTGAATCATTATGCATTTACCTGTACATTTAAGGCACCCATGTGAATTTCTTTGCATTTATCTGCTCATTTAAGGCACCCATGTGAATCTCTATCCATTTACCTGTACATTTAAGGCACCCATGTGAATCTCTATCCATTTACCTGTACATTTAAGGCACCCATGTGAATCTCTATCCATTTACCTGTACATTTAAGGCACCCATGTGAATTTCTTTGCATTTATCTGCTCATTTAAGGCACCCATGTGAATCTCTATCCATTTACCTGTACATTTAAGGCACCCATGTGAATTTCTTTGCATTTATCTGCTCATTTAAGGCAACCAGGTGAGTTGCTGTGCACCCATATATAAGTGTGCCCATGTGAGTCAATATGAATTTACTCTATGTTTAAGGCACTCATGATTACTTATTGTTTTGTTTTGTTTGTTGTTCAACGTTGCACTTAGCAATATTCCAGCTATATGGTGACGATCTGTAAATAATCAACACTGGACCAGACAATCCAGTAATCAACAGCACTAGCATCGATCTACGCAACTGGGATACGTGACATGTGTCAACCAAGTCAGTGAACCCGACTACCTGATCCCATTAGTCGCCTCGTACGGCAAGTATGGGTTGCTGAAGATCAATTCTAACCTAGATCTTCATGAGTATGATTATTTTCAACAACACAATACATTACTCATGTTCCATCTGTCTTCTATTCAGCAGCGGTGAACGTTACATGAGAGAGAAACACTTGCGAGTCCTGGAGCACAAACTGTTCAAAGCGTTTGGGAAGTCATGGGGCAAGAAGGCTGAGACTGAGAGTGTCAAATACATGGAGATCGTCATGGAATGTTGTCAGTACGAGGAGAGGGTAGGTTGTGGGATATCTGTGCAATTCAAATATTCTTATGTTCCAATGCCATAATATATCGCGCATCTGAAGTAGTCCCACAGATGACAAACTTATCATGTCAGGGTTAACCACTTTGATCATTTATGTTAAACCTCAAGTGACATCACACTATCGTCTCGCAAGGTTCTTCTTTGACCCAGTTAACCTCTACAGGCAGTTTCATGGGCATTCTCCAAGAAATCCCAGGGATTTTCTACAGAATTTCCGGGTCCTAGGGATGTTCTGAAGAATTGCCTGGAGATTTTCTGAGGAATAGCCCTTGACTCTGAATTATTTTAAAGTTTTGAATACGATTGTAAAATATCACATTATTGAAAACTGCCATTTTGCCTTTGAAGAGAATTTATAGCTTCAGTTGTGACCAACTTTGTGGGTTGTTCAGGCAATTATTGTGTCAAATATGCATGGATTAAGAGTCATGTGATACTTGTAATTAGAGCATTTTGATATGTCTTATATTTAGTTTATGTAGTTCAATGATCATCATTATTGTATCATTTCAGATCATAATCTTCCCTATCAACAAGCATGAAGATCTTGATCTTGCCATTTTGTCCGTCCTTCTGAAAGGTAACATAACTGAATATTTCATTCCCTCTTGACTGTCTTACATGTGCCCACAAACACAGACTACTCAGTTGAGAATAATCAATCAGCATTAACATATCTAAAGTACAAAATTATTGTGGTGTAACAGAAAGTAACAGAACTACAAACATCAAACTGATATATTGTTGATCAAAATGCTATATAGGCTCACTCACTCACACTCACTCACTCACTCACTCACTCACTCACTCACTCACTCACTCACTCACACTCACTCACTCACTCACTCAATCATATCACTCACTCACTCACTCACTCACTCACTCACTCACTCAAACATCACTCACTTGTGTTTGCAGGTGGAGGTAAGGCAGCGAACACCTAGCTGCTATATATGCAATAATAGGCTATATACTGTAATCACAAATTTTTTGCATCACAATATTTTTGCGAGTGGTGACCAACAGACTTTTTTGCATCATGATCTTTCTGCGACTTGCCTAATTCTCAAAAATAGATTGCAACTGAAAGTTCTACCTACTGTAAATGCAATCACATACATGTATTAAAGGTTGCCACTAGTATTGAACTGAGCTCAGCAGAGTACTTTCGTGTGTATGCTGTCAGTGATGTTTTCCTTAAAACAACACACGCTACACAGGTCAGATAAGCTGAAAACAGTTCAAAGGGATTATATTAATTGCAATGCCTCTATTAAATTGTTGACAATGACAATTGTCACCAAAGCTGTTAACCTCCTGATAAGTGTGATGAAACCTATCCTCGCCCATTGGATGGTGTCGGCCTACCAAACAGTCTCTAAAGACAAAGAATCTGTGTTGTGTGGTTGGCGCCTGTCTGGACTATCAGACGTACTGTTTGAGTATCTTTTGTTCGAGTATCCCTTGTTTGACATGTGACATGTGAGTACCAGTAATGCTGGTAATTAGTGTTCCCACAGTTGTGTCATTGCTTCATTGTATGTATTGTCTAGATCTGTTGTTGATCATTGGCGGATCTAGAGGGGTTCAGGGGTTCAAACACCCCCTTTTGAAAATGACTTAAGATCACATTGAAGTTAATCTTTGCATTGTCGGAGCTGAGGAGCTGAACTCCACCCCTTTCAAAATTCCTGGATCCACCTCTGTTGATTATATGAAGATAACGAGACACGTTATTTGTTGATTGTTTATTGAGTTTGACCAGCAAATTGCGTCATGATATTTTTGCAAGCTCAAGTCATTCGCAATTTCGCAGAAAATATCATGCTCTCAAAAGTTTCGTGATTTACAGTACTCACTCACTCACTCACTGACATGTGTTTGCAGCTGGTGGTGGAGTTAAGGCAGGGGACAACAAGCTTGACCGGTTGAACCAGCTGAAACTGGCCTTGACTTGGAACAGGGCAGACATAGCTCAGGAGGAGATCTTCCGGGAGGACGTCAACTGGAACCAAGGTATGTGGACATCAGTCCGATGTAGGTCGCTGTGGCTGTTGTTTGAAGTCCTATATAGTCATGAAGATACAGCTCAACATAATGTGTCAGACATCAGTCTGATGTAGGTTGCTGTGGCTGTTGTTTGAGGGCCAATATGCTCATGAAGTTACAGCCTGACATAATATGTCAGACATCAGTCCGATGTAGGTCGCTGTGGCTGTTGTTTGAGATCCTATATGCTCATGAAGATACAGCCTGACATAATATGTCAGACATCAGTCCGATGTAGGTCGCTGTGGCTGTTGTTTGAGATCCTACATGCTCATGAAGATACAGCCTGACATAATGTGTCAGACATCAGTCCGATGTAGGTCGCTGTGGCTGTTGTTTGAGGTCCTATATGCTCATGAAGTTACAGCCTGACATAATATGTCAGACATCAGTCCGATGTAGGTCGCTGTGGCTGTTGTTTGAGATCCTATATGCTCATGAAGATACAGCCTGACATAATGTGTCAGACATCAGTCCGATGTAGGTCTCTGTTGCTGTTGTCTGAGATCCTATATGCTCATGAAGTTACAGCCTGACATAATGTGTCAGACATCAGTCCGATGTAGGTCGCTGTGGCTGTTGTTTGAGATCCTATATGCTCATGAAGATACAGCCTGACATAATATGTCAGACATCAGTCCGATGTAGGTCTCTGTGTTGCTGTTGTTTGAGATCCTATATGCTCATGAAGTTACAGCCTGACATAATGTGTCAGACATCAGTCCGATGTAGGTCTCTGTGGCTGTTGTTTGAGATCCTATATGCTCATGAAGATACAGCCTGACATAATGTGTCAGACATCAGTCCGATGTAGGTCTCTGTGGCTGTTGTTTGAGATCCTATATGCTCATGAAGTTACAGCCTGACATAATGTGTCAGACATCAGTCCGATGTAGGTCGTCGCTGTTGCTGTTGTTTGAGATCCTATATGCTCATGAAGATACAGCCTGACATAATGTGTCGTCAGACATCAGTCCGATGTAGGTCTCTGTTGCTGTTGTCTGAGATCCTATATGCTCATGAAGTTACAGCCTGACATAATGTGTCAGACATCAGTCCGATGTAGGTCTCTGTTGCTGTTGTTTGAGATCCTATATGCTCATGAAGATACAGCCTGACATAATATGTCAGACATCAGTCCGATGTAGGTCTCTGTTGCTGTTGTTTGAGATCCTATATGCTCATGAAGTTACAGCCTGACATAATGTGTCAGACATCAGTCCGATGTAGGTCTCTGTTGCTGCTGTTTGAGATCCTATATGCTCATGAAGATACAGCCTGACATAATAATGTCAGACATCAGTCCGATGTAGGTCGCTGTGGCTGTTGTTTGAGGTCCTATATGCTCATGAAGATACAGCCTGACATAATATGTCAGACATCAGTCCGATGTAGGTCGCTGTGGCTGTTGTTTGAGGTCCAATATGCTCATGAAGTTACAGCCTGACATAATATGTCAGACATCAGTCCGATGTAGGTCGCTGTGGCTGTTGTTTGAGGGCCAATATGCTCATGAAGTTACAGCCTGACATAATATGTCAGACATCAGTCCGATGTAGGTCGCTGTGGCTGTTGCTTGAGATCCTATATGCTCATGAAGATACAGCCAGACATAATATGACATCATCTTTCTGATACTGAAGCTGGTTAGCTGTACTCTTTACACCCAAGACTTATTACTGTAAATGAATCAAACAAAGTGGAAACATGATGATATATTGGTAATTTTATTCTAAATTTCAAGACATTCTCATGACATTCTCTGTTTGTCATAATTTATTTTTTTTAAATTTGGAAAGAGAAAATCATTCCCTGAATTGTGGTAATTGTATTTTCTTTCATTCTACTGCAGAACATTTGATAGAAGCAATGACCATGGCCCTAGAAGAGGATAAGGTGGACTTTGTGAAACTTATCCTCAATCAGGGCATCATCATGCGAGAGTACCTCACTGTACAGAAACTGGAGAGCCTCTATAACAAGGTGAGTACCTTGATATAGACTGGAGAGTCTCTGTAACAAGGTGAGTACAGGGATATAGACTGGAGAGTCTCTGTAACAAGGTGAGTACAGGGATATAGACTGGAGAGTCTCTGTAACAAGGTGAGTACAGGGATATAGACTGGAGAGTCTCTGTAACAAGGTGAGTACAGGGATATAGACTGGAGAGTCTCTGTAACAAGGTGAGTACAGGGATATAGACTGGAGAGTCTCTGTAACAAGGTGAGTACCTGGATGTAGTCTGGAGAACATCTATAACAAGGTGAGTACCTGGATGTAGTCTCGAGAACATCTATAACAAGGTGAGTACCTGGATGTAGTCTGGAGAGTCTCTGTAACAAGGTGAGTACCTGGATGTAGACTGGAGAACATCTATAACAAGGTGAGTACCTGGATGTAGACTGGAGAGTCTCTATAACAAGGTGAGTACCTGGATATAGACTGGAGAGTCTCTATAATAAGGTGAATGCTTGGATGTAGACTGGAGAAGGAGGGAGAGAGGGAACATGATTTTTTGTTTCTAAACTTGAGAAGTCAAAATCATATCAATATCATTATGCACTTACAGATTCCCAAGCATGGCTACCTCCGTCCTCTGTTGACACGGTTTTCAAAGAAGCCAGATTTCAACTTGAGTGACATTGGTGCTTTCCTGACGAAGCTTCTTGACAAGTACGATGATGAGAAGTTCCAGGAAGCTGAAGGTCAGAATGTGCCCGTCATCAGCCAATCATCTAGTCTCAGAAAACCCAAGATGACGTTTGAGTCAACGGACACGGATGATACTGAGGAAAAAGACCAGTTCAAGCGGCCATTCAAACAGTTGCTTATATGGGCTATTCTCATGAACAGGTAGGTTGTTTATTCTTTGGTTACATTCATTAGTAACACTGAGGGTTGGTAATGTATCTATGATCAATGTAGAAATCGCTGGATTCTGATTGACCAGTCTGATGTATCAAATCATGGTGTTGCCCTCTTAGAGCCAGGTAATATTTATAGTGTTTGAGTTGGGTTTTACGCTGCTTTTAGCAATATTCCAGCAATATCACGGCGGGGAGCACCAGAAATGGGCTTCACACATTGTACCCATATGGAGAATCGAACCCAGGCCTTTGGACGTAATGAGCGAACACTTTAACTGCTGGGCACCCTGACCGCTTTTAGCTATATTCCTGTAACATTATGGTGGAAAAACACCCCATATGGGATTCACACATAGCACCCATATGGGGAATAGAGAGTGAGTTAGTGAGTATGGTTTTGCTGGTTTTGTGCCACTTTTGTCAATATTACAGCAATATCACGGCGGGGGCACCAGAAATGGGCTTCACACATTGTACCCATGTGGGGAATTGAACCCAGGTCTTCAGTGTGACGAACAGATGCTTTAACCATTAGGCAAAACACACACACACACACACACACACCCCATATGGGGAACAGAATGCTGTAATCAGTAGGCTACCCAAGTACCCTTTCAGTAAGGACATTATTAGCCTACTCCAAGGAGTGAGTGAGTGAGTGAGTATGGTGTTACGCCACTTTCATCAATATTCCAGCAATATCACGGCAGGGGACACCAGAAATGGGCTTCACACATTGCACCCATGTGGGGAATCAAACCCAGGCCTTTGGCGTGCTAAGTAATCGCTTTACCCACTAGGCTACCCCACCACCACCAGGATCAGTGTGTGGCAGTTAGAAGTGTGGAGGTATAATGGTGTAAACTGTGTGTTCCTTCCAGGGTGGACCTTGCCATGTTCTTCTGGGAGATGGGCGAGGAACCCATATCGAGTGCCATTGCCATCACCAGGATCTGTCAAGGAATGTTCAAGAAGATCCCCAAGTACCAAACTAAGGTCCGAGAAGACTTTTTGAAGATGAAAGTGTAGGTGACAGTTATATTATGTTAGTTTGTTGTATATATTCAGCTGTACACCTTGTAGGCAATGCATTGTCTAGCAATCTTGGACCTAGAGGACAGACAACTTCTTTATTGAAATAGATGCGACATTTCGGTGTAAATGCTTGCTTGATAATGGTGTTAGCATCTACACTGAAACTTTGCATCTATTGCATTAGAGAAGTTGTCTGTTTATAAAAATTGTTCCTCTTCATCAAACCAATTTCTAATGGCCACTTAAAGAAGTTATCATGAACCTTGTTTGGACATGAAGCTGCTGAGTTGCTTCCCTTGGGGATGCGAGAAACATGATCAGGGTTTAAATCCTGTGACCATTCCTGTGCCCATGTTTTCCCCAAATTTGGGACTGTCCAAGTCCAGTATCTCTATCTTCCCCCCATCAAGCTGATGAACTGTAATATAACTGGGTGTGATGACAGTCACTATACATGGCATTAGTTTAAACATATTTTATTCTCAAAGTGAAAAGGAATAGGGACAAGTTCTTACAACTTGAAAAACCCTCTACAAGGGGCAAATTCTGGGTGTGATGATAGCCACTGTCCAGGGCCCTGTTTCACAAAGCTATTGTAGCGCTGTGACTGTCGTAAGTCTATGTTACAGTATAGGAGTTACGACAGTCGTAGCGAACTTTGTGAAATGGGGCCAGGACAATTTGATGATATTCTGTATGGTGTCACAACTTTCTGCAGCAAGTTCGAGAGGCTGGCAATGTGGGTGCTGGATGAGTGCCATCTGGTGGACCCCAGCAAGGCCATGATGCTGGTGGAGAGGAAGTCCCTCATCTGGAGCAAGATGTCCTGTCTGCAAATGGCCGCCTCAGCCAATGATCAGGTGGGACAGTGTCTTAATGAGTGGAGGCTCACACGTATAATATTGTCTTGTTGGGATTCTAAAGTAATGACTTTCTAACCATCTTGGGATTTGGCGAGTTTGGGCTTTGTAATGCTGTGGGGAGCTGAAAGAAGTGAAGATTTTGGAAGGAAATTTACTTATTAGCAATAAATATACATTTGAGACATTTTGTTCTGTATAAATGGTTCAATTTCATTTGAAATGTGTGAAAGGTGACATGAACAGAAATAGGTGGTAACAATGCTTGACTGCATATCATTGTTTGATAATGTCTGTACAAGTTGTTATGATATGTAACCATGATACCTCTACTCGTACTTGCTGTGGATGAAACAACGTCACTGAGCAATACTCTTTAACCAGAGACCATATGATATGTTATATGGTCTCTGCTTCAACCAACCAGGGCGATGAGGTAGCCTCGTGGTAAAAGCCTTCGCTCGTCATGCAAAAGGCCCTGGGTTCGCTTCCCCACATGGGTGCAATGTGTCCCCCGCCGTGATATTGTTGGAATATTGCTAAAAGCGGCGTAAAACCATACCCACTCACTCCGCTCTTTAACCAACCTCAGGGGAATTATGGGTCCATTATTTCAGCGTGGCCTCCGTTTCACAAAGCTATCATAGCGTTACAAGTGTCGTAGCTCCTATACTGTAACATAGACTTATCACAGTGAGTGAGTGAGGGACTGAGTATGGTTTAACATCTCATGTCGGGGGAAACCTGACATGGGCTTCACACATTGTACCCAGGTCTTCGACGTGACGAGTAAACACTTTAACCACAAGGCTACCCCACCACCCTGTTGGTCGTAAGAGTCTAGTAAATGTATCAAGTCTGTTGACTTGTTGAGTGTGTCATTGTACCATGGTAGCAGAATAATTTTGTAGGAAGCCTTAAAGAACAAACGTGAGTGAGTGGGTGAATTAGGTTTAACACCATTTTTAGCCCTATTCCAGCAATATCACAGCTGGGAACACCAGTAATGGGCTTCACACATCGTAACCCTGTGGGGATTCGAACCCGGGTCTTCGGCGTGACGAGCCAATGCTTTAACCATTAGGCTACCCCACTGCCCCAGAACAAACAAGAACAATTGCTGATGGTATATCTTTCTTCAACTATCACTGTAAATGTTCCAGGCTTTCCTGTCCTCCGTGGCCTGCCAAGACTCTATCAACACGACATGGAAACATGGCATCCTATCCAACTGGAAATACGTAAGTCTTCCCTGCCTTGTACCTTGATCTACACAGGAAGACTATTGTGAAGTTACAGTCCATCATCTTGTTTCTTAATCTTTAGTCATTCGTTGATCTAGTAATCTTAAGTGCCATGACTCTGATGAGTTATCTCCCTTAGATATGTGAAAAACGTGTTTTAGTGGGTTTGAACCCTGTTTCATCCCTTGTTATGTTTCTAGGTTTGTGTGTACCATACCTATGTCCAGGGATTTGATAACTTAAGGCCCACATAATAATAATAATAATAATAATAATGATAAGGCCACTTATATACATTTGAACTCCCTGTCGCACGGGCATGCTCCAAACGCATACAACTTAATGGACATTATTACCCAGATAACCCAAGCTGCGCTAGAATATTAACAGACATTTGATTTATCCTACCGGGTACCCATTTTCTGCTGGGTGAACAGAGGCATTCTTCTTCATAGAGATCGTCCTTGGGGTACATATCATGCATTTTCCACGCTGAAAATGTCCTGTGACAGTTGTATCAATGTTTTTTGAATAAAAAGATTGTACAATAAATAAACTTTTTATTTATTATACGGCCCCCACCTCGTGGAGTTACCTCCCGTTACGCATGCGCACCAACTGGGTAATCACCTAGGCCCGTATCATCATTCCTTCTGCTGTCACTCACGTGTGTAGACGTAAATGTGTAGAGCAGCGCTGTACTCTTCAAATAGAGAACTCAAGAGAATTATGTCTGAGACAACACCACCTGTATGTATGGTCTTTATTTTGTCCTTGCAAAGGAACAGTAAAGCTTCGCGGTCGGTTGTTTCATTATTGTGACTTTGTATTAATTATTTTACGCTCACTTTCCCGTGGTTTACGCACATGTTGCTCTGCCATGGCGGGAACTTTAGCGTGCCACGTGGTTGTAATATTGCGTATTGAACCAACTATTTCTTCCCGTGGTAGCCTTCACGTATTTTTCAATGTTTTCTACGTGTATATTAGCTGCTGGTCCGCTGTTAGCTACATGCTTGCGTGTTTGCTTTCAGGCGTTTTCCTCCTGTTCGGTCTGTGGGCAAAGCATCCCCAGGGCCGACCGCCATGATAAATGTATCGTGTGCTTGGAGAAAACTGACCATATCTCGGAAACCTGTGAGATTTGTATGGGTTTCTCCCCCCGGGCCCAGAAGAGAAGGGCTGCGGATTTTCTCTTCTATAGAGAGATGCGTGAGGCGGGAGGGGAATTGACCCAGGTCCCTCCGTCCAAAGCGAAAAAGCCTCGCAGTAAAGGCAAAAAGTCGCGAAGCCAGTCGCCTTCTCCCACTCCTAGTAGCGGTTTTGATATGTCTATCATTACTCAGTTGTTCCAGCAGCACATGGACTCAGTGAAGTCCCTTGTTCATGAGTCGGTTGGAGGGCTCCGGCAGGAGTTCCTCGCCCACTCTGAGCAGGGGGCGGAGAGTCTGGGGGTGGGATCGCCGAGCCCGGCTCGATCCCTTGGCCTTGAGGCGTCTGTAGATCCGTTGCCTCTGGCTTAGGGTCCGGACGCCTCGGCTGCCCCGGAGGGGGAGGCTTCGCTCCCAGTCCCCCTCTCGGAGTTGGCGCAGGGTCCGTTGATGATTCCTGGGGTTCCGGTCCCTGCGCCGTCCCGCCCCATGAGAGCGGAGGCACCAGTTCTGCCTGGTCTGCCTCCAGCGTCTCGGGACCGGGTCCATGCGTGATGGCAGGTGCTGACGCGGGGCGCTCTGTCTGCTCCTCCCTCTCTTCTGTGCCTGGTGCTAGGCCGCCCACCGGGTCGGGGTTCGGGTCCTCTTCGCGAGGAGACCCAGCCTCGGACTTCGGGCTCGAGCGCCGAGTCCATGGATACTGGGGGGTTGAGGAGCAGGAGGGTGGCTTCCGTTTTAAAATTCGGCTTTGCGGGAGGTCCGCAACACATTGCCGAGTTCCTACCCCAGGCCGCGGTGCCTGCCAGCCGCTCGGACTCGTCTGAGGTCCGCCTGCCAGGCGAGGCGTTTGCCCCTCGGCAGCCTACGCAGACGCTGCTCCGTATTCTGCCGTCGTTGGTGCACGACGTGGTCGATCCCCTCCCTTCTGGGTCTCGCCTCCGTTTCGACTTGCCTGAGCTTGTCCGGAGGTACCAGCTGGGGGAGGATTCCCTGTTCGCTGTACCAGTGGTGGATGAGTGCGTGTTTACCTCGGTCGCCTTGGAGGGAGGCTCGGCTTCCTCCGGAGCAGCTCCGGCTGCTCGGGCATGAGGGCATTTAACACCACCGTTTGCCCTCGGCGGTTCGGCGCCCTCGACCTGGTACCCACCCAGGACGGCATCGCGTCACGGGACCTACGGCACCAGGAGGTCTACCGGAGCTATGCAGCAGGTGCGGTCGTGGTCCATGAGGCCTACCTCTCCTCGATCTTGGAGGCGGAGGGACACGCTGGAGACGATATCTCCGCGTAGATGTCGTGCTACTCCCCCCAGCTATGGGCGCTGGTGTTCAGATAGGGGGATTGCAGATCCCTTTTCTGCGGATTTAGTCCGAGTATTGGAGTTTTTGCAAGCCCGTTTGGAAGAAGGCCTGGCGGCTTCGACCATTCGTGGCTACTCCACCGCTATTTCCACCTTTCACACCCCTGTCGATGGTGCTCTTCTGGGGCAGCACCCTCTCGTACAGCGCTTTTTAGCTGGCGCGGATCGGGTTCGACCTGCTGTCAGGCGAACCAGCCAACCTTGGGATTTGTCAATTGTGCTCGATTGGCTGTCCGGTCCAACTTTCTCACACCTATCGGCTATTTCCATTCATTCGTTAACTTGGAAGGCTGTTTTTCTTGTGGCGGTAACATCTGGGCATAGGGTCGGCGATTTACATGCTATGTCGTCCGACCCGGCGCTGACTGTGTTTCACACTGATCGTGTCAGTATTTGCCTCCCGGATACGTACCGCCCGAAGGTCGATCACGCTTTCCATGTGACAGCTCCTATCGAACTTCCCACTCTTACCGGGGCGGTGGGGTAGCCTAATGGTTAAAGCGTTGGCTCGTCACGCCGAAGACGCGGGTTCGAATCCACAATGTGTGAAGCCCATTTCTGGTGTCCCCCGCCGTGATGTTGCTGGAATATTGCTAAAAGCGGCGTAAAACCATACTCAGTCAGTCAGTCCCACTCTTACCCAGCCTTCCACATCGGGGACCTCTGCAACGAGCACTCACCCGTTGGATGTCCGTAAGACACTCAAGGTCTATATCAAACAAACGCAGGGAATCCGTACGGGTACCCAGCTGTTCTGTTGTTACGGTGGCGGGAAGGCTGGTGTGCCGGCGAGCAAGCAGACTTTGTCTCGCTGGCTAGTTTCGTGTATTTGTGCTGCTTATCAGGCTAAGGGCAAGCCTCCCCCTGAGGGGTTGAAGGCTCACTCGGTCAGGGCAGTAGCCGCATCAAAAGCTTTTGCATCGGCACTTCGCCCATTGAAGAGATCTGCTCTGCCGCTGAAGAGATCTGCTCTGCCGCTATTTGGAGCCGAGCTTTGGCTAGTTCTCTCCAGTGGACGTTTATTGACATTATCAGCTGCTGAATACTGCATTCCGCTTCTGTAAATCGATCCTCTACGAGCTTTAGGTCGGTGTGAGCGTTCTGTTCTCTCCAGTGGACACAAAGTTGCCTGCCACCCTGACCGAAAGTGAGTCTATGGTTCATTGGTCTTTGTTACAATCCTCTCCCTGTCAGTTCCCCTCCCATAAGCCTCTCGCGAACTGGGACATGTGACAGGTGAGTGTTATGGCGTGTTATTAACGATAGCTATTTGTATGTGCTTGGACAGAATTCCCTCCTCCCTGGCCTCCGGTCTTTGGGAGTCTGTGTTTATGCATAATATGTACCCCAAGGACGATCTCTATGAAGAAGAATTAACCAAACCTGAAGAGGTTTTCAATTCTTCGAAGAGAGTCGTCCTTGGGGTAGGGCCTCCCGCCTCCCCGCAATTCTGTTCACTGATTTATTCAGCAGAAGGAATGATGATATGGGCCTAGGTGATTACCCAGTTGGTGCGCATGCGCAACAGGAGGTAACTCCACGAGGTGGGGGCCGTATAATAAATAAAACATTTATTTATTGTACAATCTTTTTATTCAAAAAACATTGATACAACTGTCACAGGACATTTTCAGCGTGGAAAATGCATAATATGTACCCCAAGGATGACTCTCTTCGAAGAATTGAAAACCTCTTCAGGTTTGGTTAAGTTTTGACCAAACTCACTTGAATGAAGGTGAGACCACATGTGTCAAATGTGCTTCGTTGTGGGACAGGACAGAAGTCATAGAAACTCTCAGATGTCAAGCTGCCAAACACGGTTCCATGACAAGCATTGATTAACTTCAACTGATTTGTGACCTGGGCTCTATGCACAAGACCACACACATCACCACACATCAAGCTGAAACATTGTGATATAATATAAAGACTGTTCAAACCATATAACCTGTTGTGAACACTTAAGCTATATTGCTGTCTTAAAATGTGTTCGACAAACTGCTCTGTGTAACTGTGAAGGATAGGTGACATTTTTAAATTCATAATTTGTTTGTGTCGTAACATCCCTAAAAAATGTTCAAGAGATTTCAGATTTTAATTCTAAATGAATCCCAAGTTCATTCAATTTTTTGTTATTTTTAGGTGTTTTATGGTATTTTGTTCCCACCCTTCATCTTCTTCGTGGAGGTGGCCAAGATGGGGGAGACTCGATTCACTGTTGCCCAGAAGCTTCTCACCTTCTACACAGCACCGATGACCAAGTTTGGGTGTTATACGGTAAGGCTATTGAATCATACCTTTTGTTCCATGCCAGTTAGTATATCTTTGGTGGGGTGTCCTCTGGTAGAAATGTCATTGTGTATTTGTTGTCCTTTGGTAGAAATCCCTTTGTTTTGAGTATTGACTTATGTGATACACATTCTTAGTGGAAGGAATTTTGTTTCAGTTTTGTTGATGTGAGTGTGTCATCTTGGTAAGAGATAGAAGCGTGAAACACCCCATGAAACACTTCACCATAAATATGCTTGCTTGTAAATCATTATACAGATTTGTTATCAAGCATTCCTGGCAATACCTAAATGTATGCTTGTAATTACCGACCAGTTGTCCTACCTGGCGTACTTGGCAATACCTAAATGTATGCTTGTAGTCACCTAAATGTATGCTTGTAGTCACTGACCTACCTGGTCTTCCTGGCAATATCTAAATGTATGCTTGTAATCACTGACCAGTTGTCCTACCTGGTGTATCTGGCAATATCTAAATGTATGCTTGTAATCACTGACCAGTTGTCCCACCTGGTGTATCTGGCAATACTTAAATGTATGCTTGTAATCACTGACCAGTTGTGCTATCTGGCAATGTCTAAATGTATGCTTGTAATCACTGACCAGATGTCCTACTAGGCATTCCTGGCAATGTCCTCGAGGCATTCCTGGCAATGTCTAATGTATGCTTGTAATCAATCAACAGTTGTCCTACCTGGCATTCCTGGGTCTGTTCTCTTTCCTGGTTTTGGTGGACTTCAAAGCTACCCCCAGCATTGTGGAGTGGATCTGCATTCTCTGGACGCTGTCCTTCCTCACTGGGGAAACACACGCTGTGAGTAGACACTAGCAGTAACTTCAGGATATTCACTGTACATTTAGAATACAAAAGACTGATTAGATTTGGTTGTTATTTCAAATACTTGTGTCCATGATCCCACGATACGACCTTGCCCTTGTGGAAGGGTCAGTTTCAAAACTAGTTGCTGCCATTCATCAGTTGTTTCATTATGTAAGTGACCTTGACCTTGCAGTTTCTGATTTCAGATATCATTGTGGAAGGTCAAGTTGATAAACTGGTTCCTGTTATCACTAAGTCGGTATTACGTATGTTTATGCCTTAACATGTGACCCTGACTTTGCAGTTCCTGATGTTCCCGATCCCAACATTCAAAGGCAAGTTGAGAGACTGGTTCAGCCTCCTGGACAAGATGGACATCTGTAACCTCCTCTTGGTCTTCATCGGGTTTAGTATACGCTGGAACCATGATTTGTTCTTCAGTGCCAAGATGATCTACTGTTTCAATGTGATTATCTTCTACCTACGCATCCTGAAGATGTACACAGCCCACAGCCAACTTGGACCAAAGTTGTTCATGATCATGAGAATGGTGAAGCTTATTCTGTCACCTGTACTAATGAAATATTATGATAATGTTTTAACCTGTCTCAGTTTTCTTCAGAACGATTGTTACTGTCCTTCATTGACAGATTTTTCAACTCTGTATTCATCATGAAGTTTGAACTTGTTTTAGTCACAATATGGCTGAAATATTGGCAATGTTACTTAATGTAAATTTGCTCGCTCCACTCCACTCCACCCCACCCCACCCCACCTCACTCACTCACTCACTCACTACCATAGGGGGAACCTTATTGACCAAAATATGTGGAGTACTTTAAAATGTCATGTCACATTGGAATTGTTCAGGGCTTAAAGTGAAGTTGATAGTCAGCCAGACCATTCAATAAGTAACTTCTTTAGGGACTTAGTAAAATGTGAAACAGCAACAGATATATTTTGTCAACAGCTGTCATTTTGTTGCTAGACTGTGCTCTAGATTTGACTACATGTAACTACATTGTGGCATTCTGTGAATTGATAGTGTTATTCCACAGTTAGTTGAATTGACTGTGTGTAACTATGGCTATATTGTGTCGTTCTAGAGCTAGATTGTGTCGTTCTGTGAATAGGCTGGATCATTCAGTGGCCATGTTTTGTGACAAGGAAGTATCATTCTTTAACTAGACAGTGTCATTCTGAAACTCTGTGGTGCCATCCTGTGATTTATCTTAGTCATTCTTAACATGCGTAAACTACATTGCATCTTCCAGACCCAATCATGTCAATGTCTGGCCATGTTTTGTCATTTGGAACTTACTTGTTTCAGTCTGAGACTCATTCTAACTATTGCAAAGTATCATTCTATAGTCTGATTGTTTGGGCTGCAACAATTCACGCAGACCTCGATTTGATTCAATTTTCAATATTGGACCCTCGATTTGATCATTTTCAATTTGATTCTTCATTCAAGTAAAACCATTAGATTTCATTTAACGCTCAAGAGTCGGCGTTTTTAGTGTGAAATCCATCGGCAACTTGGCGATGTCTACTAACAACAATTCTCATCGGATAAATATGCTTGCTTGTAAATCATTATACAGATTTGTTATCAAGCATTCCTGGCAATACCTAAATGTATGCTTGTAATTACCGACCAGTTGTCCTACCTGGCGTACTTGGCAATACCTAAATGTATGCTTGTAGTCACTGACCAGTTGTCCTACCTGGCGTACTTGGCAATACTTAAATGTATGCTTGTAATCACTGAACAGTTGTCCTATCTGGCACTCCTGGCAATGTCTAAATGTATGCTTGTAATCGCTGACCTACCTGGTCTTCCTGGCAATACCTAAATGTATGCTTGTAATCACTGACCAGTTGTCCTACCTGGTGTATCTGGCAATATCTAAATGTATGCTTGTAATCACTGACCAGTTGTCCTACCTGGTGTATCTGGCAATACCTAAATGTATGCTTGTAATCACTGACCAGTTGTCTTGTAATCACTGAACCAGTTGTCCTACCTGTTGTCCTTGTAATCACCCGACCAGTTGTCCTACGTGGTGTATCTGGCAATATCTAAATGTATGCTTGTAATCACCAGTTGTCCTACCTGGTGTATCTGGCAATATCTAAATGTATGCTTGTAATCACTGACCAGTTGTCCTACCTGGTGTATCTGGCAATATCTAAATGTATGCTTGTAATCACTGACCAGTTGTCCTACCTGGTGTATCTGGCAATATCTAAATGTTGCTTGTATCACTGACCAGTTGTCCTATCTGGCAATACCTAAATGTATGCTTGTAATCACTGACCAGTTGTGCTATCTGGCAATGTCTAAATGTATGCTTGTAATCACTGACCAGTTGTCCTACCTGGTGTATCTGGCAATATCTAAATGTATGCTTGTAATCACCGACCAGTTGTCCTACCTGGTGTATCTGGCAATATCTAAATGTATGCTTGTAATCACTGACCAGTTGTCCTATCTGGCAATACTTAAATGTATGCTTGTAATCACTGACCAGTTGTGCTATCTGGCAATGTCTAAATGTATGCTTGTAATCACTGACCAGATGTCCTACTAGGCATTCCTGGCAATATCGAAATGGCAATGTCTAATGTATGCTTGTAATCAATCAACAGTTGTCCTACCTGGCATTCCTGGGTCTGTTCTCTTTCCTGGTTTTGGTGGACTTCAAAGCTACCCCCAGCATTGTGGAGTGGATCTGCATTCTCTGGACGCTGTCCTTCCTCACTGGGGAAACACACGCTGTGAGTAGACACTAGCAGTAACTTCAGGATATTCACTGTACATTTAGAATACAAAAGACTGATTAGATTTGGTTGTTATTTCAAATACTTGTGTCCATGATCCCACGATACGACCTTGCCCTTGTGGAAGGGTCAGTTTCAAAACTAGTTGCTGCCATTCATCAGTTGTTTCATTATGTAAGTGACCTTGACCTTGCAGTTTCTGATTTCAGATATCATTGTGGAAGGTCAAGTTGATAAACTGGTTCCTGTTATCACTAAGTCGGTATTACGTATGTTTATGCCTTAACATGTGACCCTGACTTTGCAGTTCCTGATGTTCCCGATCCCAACATTCAAAGGCAAGTTGAGAGACTGGTTCAGCCTCCTGGACAAGATGGACATCTGTAACCTCCTCTTGGTCTTCATCGGGTTTAGTATACGCTGGAACCATGATTTGTTCTTCAGTGCCAAGATGATCTACTGTTTCAATGTGATTATCTTCTACCTACGCATCCTGAAGATGTACACAGCCCACAGCCAACTTGGACCAAAGTTGTTCATGATCATGAGAATGGTGAAGCTTATTCTGTCACCTGTACTAATGAAATATTATGATAATGTTTTAACCTGTCTCAGTTTTCTTCAGAACGATTGTTACTGTCCTTCATTGACAGATTTTTCAACTCGGTATTCATCATGAAGTTTTAACTTGTTTTCGTCACAATATGGCTGAAATATTGGCAATGTTACTTAATGTAAATTTGCTCGCTCCACTCCCTCCACTCCCACCCACCCACCTCACTCACTCACTCACTCCACTACCATGGGGAACCTTATTGACCAAAATATGTGGAGTACTTTAAAATGTCATGTCACATTGGAATTGTTCAGGGCTTAAAGTGAAGTTGATAGTCAGCCAGACCATTCAATAAGTAACTTCTTTAGGACTTAGTAAAATGTGAAACAGCAACAGATATATTTTGTCAACAGCTGTCATTTTGTTGCTAGACTGTGCTCTAGATTTGACTACATGTAACTACATTGTGGCATTCTGTGAATTGATAGTGTTATTCCACAGTTAGTTGAATTGACTGTGTGTAACTATGGCTATATTGTGTCGTTCTAGAGCTAGATTGTGTCGTTCTGTGAATAGGCTGGATCATTCAGTGGCCATGTTTTGTGACAAGGAAGTATCATTCTTTAACTAGACAGTGTCATTCTGAAACTCTGTGAGGTGCCATCCTGTGATTTATCTTAGTCATTCTTAACATCGTAAACTACATTGCATCTTCCAGACCCAATCATGTCAATGTCTGGCCATGTTTTGTCATTTGGAACTTACTTGTTTCAGTCTGAGACTCATTCTAACTATTGCATAGTATCATTCTATAGTCTAATTGTTTGGGCTGCAACAATTCACCCAGACCTTGATTTGATTCAATTTTCAATATTGGACCCTCGATTTGATCATTTTCAATTTGATTCTTCTTTCAAGTAAAACCATCAGATTTCATTTAACTCTCAAGAGTCAGCGTTTTTAGTGTGAAATCCATCGGCAACTTGGCAATGTCTACTAACAACAATTCTCATCGGATAATTAGGCCGGCGTCAACCAATCGCCTTATTTCACTGCCCGAAACTGCTGGAGTTAAAATTACATTCTGGCTGTGTTGAAATAATTTATAAAGGTATTCAAATACCAAATCGAAATAGTGATAATGGTTATCGAAAGTTGAAACTAAGGTGTCAAATTCGATTTTCGATGAATCGAACTGAATCGTTGCAGCCCTACTTATTGTGTGATTCAGGGGCAATCATGTACCTGTAAGTGTATTGTGTCATTCAGGGGCAATCATGTACCTGTAAGTGTATTGTGTCATTCAGGGGCAATCATGTACCTGTAAGTGTATTGTGTGATTCAGGGGCAGTCATGTACCTGTAAGTGTATTGTGTCATTCAGGGGCAGTCATGTACCTGTAAGTGTATTGTGTGATTCAGGGGCAATCATGTACCTGTAAATGTGATGTGTGATTCAGGGGCAATCATGTACCTGTAAGTGTATTGTGTCATTCAGGGGCAATCATGTACCTGTAAGTGTATTGTGTCATTCAGGGGCAGTCATGTACCTGTAAGTGTATTGTGTGATTCAGGGGCAATCATGTACCTGTAAGTGTATTGTGTCATTCAGGGGCAGTCATGTACCTGTAAGTGTATTGTGTGATTCAGGGGCAGTCATGTACCTGTAAGTGTATTGTGTGTGGGGGGCAGTCATGTACCTGTAAGTGTATTATGTGATTCAGGGCATTCCTGTAGGGGCAGGGGCAATCATGTACCTGTAAGTGTATTGTGTGATTCAGGGGCAGTCATGTACCTGTAAGTGTATTGTGTGATTCAGGGGCAATCATGTACCTGTAAGTGTATTGTGTGATTCAGGGGCAATCATGTACCTGTAAGTGTATTGTGTCATTCAGGGGCAATCATGTACCTGTAAGTGTACCTTAAAGTGTATTAATGTCATTTCAGGGGCAATCATGTACCTGTAAAGTGTATTGTGTCATTCAGGGGCAGTCATGTACCTGTAAGTGTATTGTGTGTCATTCAGGGGGGCAATCATGTACCTGTAAGTGTATTGTGTGATTCAGGGGCAGTCATGTACCTGTAAGTGTATTGTGTCATTCAGGGGCAGTCATGTACCTGTAAGTGTATTGTGTGATTCAGGGGCAATCATGTACCTGTAAGTGTATTGTGTGATTCAGGGGCAATCATGTACCTGTACCTGTAAGTGTATTGTGTGATTCAGGGGCAATCATGTACCTGTAAGTGTATTACCTGTAAGTGTGTCATTCAGGGGCAGTCATGTACCTGTAAGTGTATTGTGTGATTCAGGGGCAATCATGTACCTGTAAGTGTATTAATGTGATTCAGGGGCAATCATGTACCTGTAAGTGTATTGTGTGTCAATTCAGGGGGCAATCAATCATGTACCTGTAAGTGTATTGTGTCATTCAGGGGCAATCATGTACCTGTAAGTGTATTGTGTGTCATTCAGGGGCAATCATGTACCTGTAAGTGTATTGTGTGTCATTCAGGGGCAATCATGTACCTGTGTAAGTGTATTGTGTCATTCAGGGGCAGTCATGTACCTGTAAGTGTATTGTGTGATTCAGGGGCAATCATGTACCTGTAAGTGTATTGTGTGATTCAGGGGCAATCATGTACCTGTAAGTGTATTGTGTGATTCAGGGGCAATCATGTACCTGTAAGTGTATTGTGTGATTCAGGGGCAGTCATGTACCTGTAAGTGTATTGTGTGATTCAGGGGCAGTCATGTACCTGTAAGTGTATTGTGTGATTCAGGGGCAATCATGTACCTGTAAGTGTATTGTGTGATTCAGGGGCAATCATGTACCTGTAAGTGTATTGTGTCATTCAGGGGCAATCATGTACCTGTAAGTGTATTGTGTGATTCAGGGGCAATCATGTACCTGTAAATGTATTGTGTGATTCAGGGGCAATCATGTACCTGTAAGTGTATTGTGTGATTCAGGGGCAATCATGTACCTGTAAGTGTATTGTGTGATTCAGGGGCAATCATGTACCTGTAAGTGTATTGTGTGATTCAGGGGCAATCATGTACCTGTAAGTGTATTGTAAAGTGTATTCAGGGGGGCAATCATGTACCTGTAAGTGTATTGTGTGATTCAGGGGCAATCATGTACCTGTAAGTGTATTGTGTGATTCAGGGGCAATCATGTACCTGTAAATGTATTGTTTGTGTTACAGCTTGAGGAGCTGGTGTTGTTCGTCATGATCCTGGTGGTGTTTTTGTTGGCGTATGGTGTGGCCAGCCAGGGTCTTCTCTATCCGCAACGTAAAGGTGACGCCGTCATCCTGAAAGACATTGTCTTCTACCCTTACTGGCAGCTGTATGGAGAGATCTTCCTGGATGAAATTGAGAGTGAGTTGACTCAGCTTTAATGCACCTAAGTCTTCATACTGTAGGCATTCATTTGCTGGCAGTCTCAACAAGCACCTAACATGAGTCGGTCACTAACTGAGAGGATACTTGCTCATGCCTTCAACATGCACAATTAGGAGATAAACATCATGTGTTGGCCAATTTCTGGATTTTATTGAGTATTTGAAGCACGGGAATTAATATGGAGCCGATGACATTAGCCAGAGGTTTCAAATGAAATATTCTCGTACTTCAAATACTCAATAATACCCGGAAAATGGCCAACATATGATGTTTATCGACATTGTAAAAGTAAACCAAAAGGTCCACACATGTTTTTGTGTCAGCACTCATTGACATCGAGTACGGGTACAGCAGTGAAATATAATCAGCTGGCTGTTTCGGCGGTCTCACATGGTAGCATCTGGAACTGCTATTTGCCACTGCTGACAACGTAACAATACAATGGTGTGTGCGATGTTTGTATGTATTAATACGCAGCGACTGGTCTTGCAATTTCTAGGAATTGAATACCATTCGATCATGTTTTTCAACCAATCAGATTAAAGAACACAGTGACTTTTGGTTTACAATGTGTATTGTGGCTCATGATATCAATCACTGGTTTGTCTGTCCTCGACTTGATAGATTTACAGGCCGCAGGAATAGATGGAGTATGTATTGTGAGTGATGTTAAACAACAGGAAAAAACAACAGAAGCCTGTAAATTTATCAAGTGTGGACCAGGCAAACAGGGGATTGATATCAAGAGCAACAATCCACATTGTTGACACTCTAACAACCAGGTCACATAGCTTCACCGTCCTCTCACCTTGTACAACATATGTGTGTGTTAGCCTAGTGGTTAAAGTGTTTGCTCGTCACGCCGAAGACCTGGGTTCAATTCCACACGTGGATACAATGTGTGAAGCCCATTTCTGGTGTCCCCCGCCGTGATATTGCTGGAATATTGCTAAAAATTAAACTCATTCACTCACCCAGGTGGTCCAAGCTGTTCTAGTTCAGATCCATGTTCCAGTTAATGTGGGGCTCACTCACTCACTCACTCCAGTTAATGTTGATTCAAATTCAGAAGTATACCAGCACTACAGGCTATTACTTCCTGACTGTAGAACAACATTCATGAGGAATACATGGACACCGCGGTGGCTGAGTGGTTTAGATGGGTGACTTTGCGTGCAGGGGATTAGGTGCCTGACTCTGAGGGTGTGTAGCCACGAATAGCTGCAATACTGCTGATATGGCTTAAAGCCACATTTACTCACTACTCAAGGAAAGTGTGGGTTCTAATCCTGGATGGGACTCAACCCAACAATAGTACTTTAATCTGTACTTATAGTCTGTTTGCAGTGAAAACGTACCGATGAATTTCACTTTAAACAAAAGTGTAAATCAAATAAAGTGAAATTAAGATTGTGAATCCTCATAATTTTACCTTGCCATTTGAACATTTAAATCTGAGAATTTCATTCATCTCAGGATAAAAGTTGTTTAACAAATGATCATAGTTTTAAATCCCTTTATTTGATTTACATTTTTGTTGAAAGTGAAATTCAGCGGTACGTTTTCACTGCAAACAGACTATAATGGTGAAAGCGTAATCCTAAATATACCTTGTGCAATATTCACTAGGATATGAATGTCTACTAAAACCCAAAAAACTTTGGCTCAGGCATGTCTTCTAACCATTACCTTGTTCCCTGAACTGCCATAGTCTGAAAATGAGGAAGGTGTGAAATATGTGGTTTGTGTAATTACTTTTACAGCTGATCAGACTTGTATGGCTGCTCTGCAGAACGTGACGACAGTGACACCCTTCAACAACACGTGTCGGACCTCCAACTGGATGGTGCCCATTCTACTGGGGATATATCTGTCTGTGGGCAACATCCTCCTCCTCAACCTGCTCATTGCCATCTTCAGGTAACTTATACATTAGCAGGGTGGTGGGGTAGCCTAGTGGTAAAAGTGTCACTCGTCGCTACTGGGGATATATCTGTCTGTGGGCAACATCCTCCTCCTCAACCTGCTCATTGCCATCTTCAGGTAACTTATACATTAGCAGGGTGGTGGGGTAGCCTAGTGGTAAAAGTGTCACTCTCGTAAGCTACTGGGGATATATCTGTCTGTGGGCAACATCCTCCTCCTCTCAACCTGCTCATTGCCATCTTCAGGTAACTTATACATTAGCAGGGTGGTGGGGTAGCCTAGTGGTAAAAGTGTCACTAAATGCCGCTACTGGGGATATATCTGTCTGTGGGCAACATCCTCCTCCTCAACCTGCTCATTGCCATCTTCAGGTAACTTATACATTAGCAGGGTGGTGGGGTAGCCTAGTGGTAAAAGTGTCACTTCAAATTAAGCTCGCTACTGGGGATATATCTGTCTGTGGGCAACATCCTCCTCCTCAACCTGCTCATTGCCATCTTCAGGTAACTTATACATTAGCAGGGTGGTGGGGTAGCCTAGTGGTAAAAGTGTCACTCGTTAAGCTACTGGGGATATATCTGTCTGTGGGCAACATCCTCCTCCTCAACCTGCTCATTGCCATCTTCAGGTAACTTATACATTAGCAGGGTGGTGGGGTAGCCTAGTGGTAAAAGTGTCACTCGTCGCTACTGGGGATATATCTGTCTGTGGGCAACATCCTCCTCCTCAACCTGCTCATTGCCATCTTCAGGTAACTTATACATTAGCAGGGTGGTGGGGTAGCCTAGTGGTAAAAGTGTCACTCGTCGCTACTGGGGATATATCTGTCTGTGGGCAACATCCTCCTCCTCAACCTGCTCATTGCCATCTTCAGGTAACTTATACATTAGCAGGGTGGTGGGGTAGCCTAGTGGTAAAAGTGTCACTCATCACGCTGAAGACCGGGTTCGATTCCCCACATTGGTACAATGTGTGAAGCCCATGTCGGGTGTCCCCTGCATTGATATTGCTGGAATATTGCTCAAAGAGGCGTAAAACAAACTCACTCACTCACAATACATAGCAAACTTGTGAAAAGGACAGCAGTGACTGTCTGACTGATGTCTCTTACGTAATGTCTTCAGTAACCCATGCTTGTTGTAAGAGGCAACTAACAAGATCAGGTCATCAGGCTCGCTGACTTGGTTGGCATGTGTCACTGTATCCCAACTGCATAAATCGATGCTCATGCTGTTGATCACTAGAGTTTCTGGCCCAGCAATATGGCTGGAATATGGAATAGCAAGAAACAAACAAACTCTTATGTCATATCTGTTAGTTGTTGATGGACACAAATGGAATGGGCAAGTGTGCACTTCGTTCCCAAGACTTGACCCTGACACAATTACGTATACCTTATTTCAATGGCAAACATGTTGCAGTATTATGTATGGAATAAACTTAAGTATGTCAACTAGTTCCCTATCATAATATATGAGAACATAGTGAAATATGGTTTTAACCAATACCCATTCCTGGTAAAGATACAAGTTACAAGATGTTTATTTGAAGAAAAGGCCAAATGACACAAAATTCAAATGATAATTAAACTCTATTTTACAGAATTACATATTTGGTTCTTTTGCTGTTTAGTACCGAAAACTATCGTAAGAAATTTGGCAACATTTCACAGTACAGTTGCTTGATTGACAAAAAAAGAAATATTGATATTACATTGTGGAACATTTGGAGGCAGACACTTGTCTATCATGTGCTTCTTGTTTCTAAGACCTGTGACGATCCGGGTTAGAATTGATCTTCTGTAACCCATGCTTGTTGTAAGAGGTGACTAACGGGACCGGGTGGTCAGGCTCACTGACTTGGTTGACACATGTAATTGTATCCCAATTACATAGATCGATGCTCATGCTGTTGGTCACTGGATTGTCTGGTCCAGACTTGATTATTTACAGACTGCCGCCAAATAGCTGGAATATTGCTGAGTGCTGCGTAAAACTAAACTCACTCACTCACTCTAATTAGTAACTCTCATGTGTTTCAGTCATGTGTTTGACACAGTGGAGGAGAACTCGATCGAGATCTGGAAGTTCCAGATGTACTACCTAGTGATGGAGTATGACATTAAGACCAGCATCATCCCGCCGTTTAACATCGTCAAGCACGCATACTACCTCATGAAGTGGATATTCAGGAAGACATGCTGCAAAAAGACAACAGAAAGTATGTGATAGGAACGTGTTGTGCTTCACGATCACTGACTTATTATCCCCGGCGCGAGTTTAGCGCGAAGCGGGGGATATAGTATTAGGCTCCGTCCGTCCGTCCGTACATACGTACGAATTGGAATATCTTAAGAACCGTTTACTAGATTCTTTTCATAATTGGTACCTATAGGTTCATCACAGTATAAGAAAGGTCCAAGTCAGGTTTGGTGACCTTGACCTTAATTTCAAGGTCACAAGGGGACTTTAACATTTTACCTGCATGTTAAGCTATCTCAAGAACTGTTCACTGGATTTTCTTCATATTCAATACAAAGCTTTATCTAGGGAAGGCGCAGGGCTCGGCCGATTTTGGTGACCTTTGGTGATTTTGTCAAGGTCACAGAGACACTTTGAAGATTTGAGCATGTTAACCTGAATTGTCAGCAAGATATTTCAAAAACAGTTCACTGGATCTTCTTCAAAGACTTTCATGACTTCCCTTAAATGTTTTTCAAAAAGCAATTTCTTTAGTACTATTTTTGCATATTTCATACACTATGACATTCATGTCAAAGTCAGTCTTGAAAATATGTGTGTGTTTGAACACCTAAAGAGCAAGACATCAAGAGAGGTTGACTGGTCATGTTTTTGTTGACATTTAACTTAAACTTTCATTACTTTATAAGTTTGATTTGATAATTTGCAGTGGGGGATTATGTCACCTTAGTGACAATGCTTGTTCAAAGTTGTCTGTGGTGTGATTTTCAAAAGATGCTCTGTTGGAGTCTTTTGTTTTGTCACTTATTATTCCATCAAGAGTAGACTTCAATATTTTGGGCCTTTATATAGGTATAACCATAACAATAGGTGGGCATGATGTGTTTACGTTTTCTTGACATTGCCACACATGAATAAATGTGGTCCTGTTTTTATTGGCCACTCAAATGCTGCTTCAATTGACACTTTTTCATTTATTTGACAACTCTCAAATGGACAGTGTGACCAAAAAGATTTTTACTACACCTTGCTGATCCTTAATGGCCATGGCAACTGTTTTATGGACCTACCAGTTCTTCAATGGACATGTCAATACTTAGATGATACATTGCAGGCAGTGGGGTAGTGTTGTTGTTAAAGCGTTTGCCTGTCTCGCTGAAGACCTGAGTTTGATTCCCCACATTGGTGCAGTCAGTGTGTGAAATAACCACTGGCCTGCTAGCCTGTGGCTGGTAAAAATTCACTTGGGCCAGTAAATCTCCACAGTCACTGGCCCGACTATCTAATGAATTTTCATGGGGTCATTTTGTAAATTAATAATAAGTTATAATACACTTTTAAATCATGCAAAATTATGGGCTGAAATGTTCATCATATTAGCAGCTTAATGATGAAACCTGTGTCATGCCGACAATATATTTTTTCATATTTAAGTAGTTTTGCTTTTGCTTAGTTTCTACATTCAAATTTTGGGCTTGTGAATTATTTTGTGGGCTAGTAACTTTCAGGCTAACTGGCCAGCAAAATTTGGAAACTATTTCGCACACATGGTACAATGTGTGAAGCCCATTTCTGGTGTCCCCTGCTGTAATATTGATGGAATATTGCTGAAAGCAGCGTAAAACTAAACTCACTGACCGACCGACTCACTCACTCACTCACTCACTCACTCATTGACATGGTCTACAATGACTTATATACTGACATCTTGACTGTGAGGTTAGCAGAATGATTATTTGTCTAACACTTTATCTATAACACTATTCAGCCCAGCAATACCTTCAGCGGCATCTGACATATCTGCAGCTGTTTGAGAAGGAGATGATGGCCAACCACCTCCGCCATGAGAAGGCCAGTCAGTCCAACACTCTGGAAACCAAGGTGAAGAACCTACAGAAGAGGTGAGTAGTGTCTTCAGTGACCAAGATCAGGTTGACCCCCAAGTACCTCCTGCTTATTATAAGAGACAGGGGTGGTGGGATAGCCTAGTGGTTAAAACGTTCACTGAAGACCTGTGTTCGATTCCCCATATGGGTACAATAATTGAAGCCCATTCCTGGTGTTCCCCGCCGTGATATTGCTGGAATATTGCTAAATTGGTGTAAAACCTCACTCACTCACTCACTCACTCACTCACTCACTCACTCACTCACTCACTCACTCACTCACTCTAAAACTAGAATGGGATTGGAGGGACTGTGAACTGTCTGTTATCCTGAATGTGTAGTGTAGATGGTTAATTACTGTAGTGTTAAGCAATCATAGCTTTACTGTTGGGTGTCGCTTGAATGGTCATGCTTCCAGGGATTGGTTTCCTGGTCCTCACTGAATTATAATAAAGTATGCAACTGACTTATTACAGAGCATGAGTTTTCCCAGGAGTGTCACATTGTGGTAAAGGCTTTTTGCATGCATGACACAGGGCATTCGCCCATGGTTTAGTGGATAGACTGTCTAGTGGTTTGATCCCTAGCCATATTGTACAAAAAGATGGTACTTGATGTTACCCTGCCTGGTGCTAGTTTTAAGGGCATAAAACAAGGACCTGTCAGCTTGGAGACAGCATACTGTGTCTGAGAGGTAACCATGTTAAACATGAGTGCGATATCTCAGGAGGTTAACACTAAATAAGGGACCGTTCATAATTTATGGCTAGGGGGGGGGTGATGATGATTTTTATGGAAAAGCATGTACAATGTGAATCAACCCCACCCCCTAAATTTATGTACAAAAAAGTGACCCCCCTGTATGACCCATCAATGACCCATATCTTTATGTACAAAACTGGTGACACCCCACCCACCCCAAGTACGTGTGTAAAAACATTGCTGACCCACACCAGCTTCCCAGAAGAAAGTGGGTAACCCCCTTCTTAAATCCTCACACACACACGCATGTACGCACGCCATAAATTATGAATGGTCCCTAACTGGCATTAGTCTGCCCCGGAAGAAGCAGCCATGGACACTAGCACACATACACACTTTTTAATTTAAGTGCAATGATCAAAGTGTTAAAGCACATTCCTACTGATCTCACTTGACACAGGGATAACTGAAAAACTGTTTGAAGCACTCTGATATCCCACTCTCTAAGTCACTGGATGTTGTGGTAGCCTTGTGCTTAAAGCATTTTTCGTCACACCAAAGTCCCAGGTTCGATACCCCACATGGGTACAATGTGTGAAGCCCATTTCTGGTGTCCCCTGCTGTGATATTGCTGGAATATTGCTAAAACTAAAGCTCACTCACTCTAAGCCACTCACTGACATCTTGATTTTTGAAAACTGATAGACAAGGTGTTTTCTACAAAAACCAACAAAGATCTTTGTTTCTAAACTGATAAATGTTTCCTTAACTAATCAAAATAGTCATAGGACTTTGTGCAAGTGGCCAGGAGCTCAGGACTTTGTGCAAGTGGCCAGGAACTCAGGTTAATGTCAGAATGACCAATAAATCTGAATAATCTGTGTTTAAAGTTTATAAATAATTCTCATTTCAGAGTTGATGAATTGACCAAGTTGATTGAGGATGAACTCATAGCGGAACAACATGGTTTCGGCATAGATGCTACAACACTCGGGCAAACACAGACCCTGCCTCTGCCTGTGAAGGAACAAGAACAAGAAAAGAAAGTATCAAGATGGCCGTCAGTTAAGAGGGTCCTAAAGCTGCGGGATGAAGAACAGAGGTTACAGGATGGGCTCAACATTGATAACCTTTTCGCTGAGGCCCCCGAAGACCTTTACAACAAAAATAAGTTAGAGGTGAGTGTTGTAGATATAATGGTTGGTTGTTTGTTGTTCAACGCCGCACTCAGCAATATTCCAGCTGTATGGCTGCGGTCCGTAAATAATGGAGTCTGGACCAGACAATCCAGTGATCAACAGCATGAGCCTCAATCTATACAACTGGGATACAATGACATGTGTCAACCAAGTCAGCGAGCCAGACTGCCCGATCCTGTAAGTCACCTCTTATGATAAGCATGGGTTGCTAAAGATTATAGCTAAAATACATGGAATTATCATGAAATGGCCCTCCAATTATCAGAAATTTTTGGGCTGCTGCAAATGATATTGGACTGCTTAACCTTAACGACGGGCCACTATCAATTCTGTTGTCAAGTGATGTCAAAGTGGGTGTGTGGGCTTACGGTTCATTCGACATTGGCTTTGGACTGGCAGATATTCTGGGTCAAACAAGTCAAAGCAACCCGAATTCCCGCTTTAAATACCGGTAATATTGGCTTTCTTGCTGGTGCTAACCTTAACAATTGCACTATTAACGTTGTTGTTGGACCAAAACCGAACACTGACATAGTTTGACATGTTGCAGGCTATGGTCTTGTCAAAGGCCAAGGTCGAATATCGTCACTTTCTGTTGTGACGTCACTTGAATTGTTCGATGACATAATTGCATCCGGGCAGTCAACCCCGTCAGAAGTTGGTTTTGAGTAAACTTATAGTCAAATTCCTTCATTGTTTCCTTTTTCTTTTCAACACAAATTCCATGTATTTTAGCAATAATAACGGTAATGCTATTTTCGAGGGCATTATCATTTGCAGAAGCCCCCGGTCATTTTCAACTGCCCTCCTTCGTCAGGCAGTTAATGGATGACCTCGGGCTTCTGCAAATGATAATGCCCTGAAAAATAGCATTACCCTTATACCAATTCTAACCCAGATCTTCAAGAGTCTGTTGATTTAATAGTGATTTGACAACATTTGAGTTGGTGTGGTTGCTTGACTTAACTAATGATGAACCCTGTGATGGAATCAGGGGAAGAAGAGTTCCCTAGTAATTCAACCTTGTAGGAAGAGATGACAGTAAATCAGGGTCCATTTCACAAAGTAATCCAATTGAGCGCTGTAAGCTGCCAGTAAAAGAATCTTGAAAATTTTCACACAAACCCCTAAATGAAGTGATACATTTTCGGTGTTTGCTCTTGGGGGCTTGACTGACTGACTGAGTTTGGTTTTACGCTGCTTTAAGCAATATTCCAGCAACATCACAGTGGGGGACACCAGAAATGGGCTTCACACATTGTGCCCATGTGGGGATTCGAACCCGGGTCTTTGGCGTGACGAGCCAACGCTTTAACCATTAGGCTACCCCACCGCCCCTCTTGGGGGCTTGATGATAGTGAACTGGGAAAAAGTTTACAACTGACTTACTCTTTGCCACATGAACTTACATTTGTTAGTCAGGTACAATATTGCAATCTAATAAGAAACACCTCCCCCCTCCTTACCCCTTCAGACAGACAGACAGTTGGACAGATGGTTGGACACAGACATACAGACACATTGAGTTTTTGTGTTGCTTTATAACATTATTACTTTTCAAATCCTCATGAATCTGATAATGAAAGACCATTCTAAAATTGTATTCCATGTTCTCCAATCATTGTGATATTAATTTCAGGGTGAAATGTCAAGAAACAAGGTGATCATCACATTTTTGTTTGTCTGATAATCTTTTATGCCACGTGACACCATCACAGATACAAGTTGAGCATGTTAATAATATATTCATTGTATTTTAGAATTATATCTGATTAGGGACTGGCCATTTATTATACAAGACCTTGCCCCCCTCCCAGTTTTGGTAGCATGTGGTGATATTTAGCAATGTCCCCCAAAGCCCCACACCATTTTTATAGTGTGAAATTAATGAGCTTATTCCTACTCCCCTACCACAGATGTGCCTACCTTGGCTGCAATACATTTTGTCGCTGTGTAATTTTTTTCATGAAAGCCTGGCGACCCCCACACCCCACCCCCTTTAATCTCAGAAGCCCCCTCCACTGTAGCAAATGTCCATTCTCAAAATGAAAGTACAAAATTATGAAACTCTGAAACATTCATGACACTCCATGAAAGTATTGTAAATGAAGATTTGTATGATGCATGTAGACACAGAATTGTAATACTAACTGTTGTTAGTTTGTTCTCATTCTCCCTCCTTGTACTTAGCCACTAACATGATCATCTTTTATAACCTTATCCATAGTGGACTTTTATATATATTCCATTCCTTTGTCATGTGAAATATCACCAGAATTCATAATACATCTTTGCTTAAAACTAATATATTATCAAGAAAGAAGAAAAAGACATGGTATCTTCTGTCTTGTAATATTATCTAATAATTTTGTAACTGTTTAGATTGTTTCCAATTTTTCATTTAAATATTTTATCTTGTTTTTGGTTTTTAAAAGTTACAGATCACTTGTAATGAAATTAGTACACATGATAAAAATGTTGTTACATCATTAATGTTTTTGTAAATTTGAAAATACTTGGAGTGAGACAATGAGACTTTCTAACCAGTTTACCACCGATAGGTTCGGTGCATGCTGTTTGTTTGTGTGTTAAGTAAATCCTCACATTGCTATAAGAACGCTGTATGTAAATAATCGGGTCTGGATCAGACAGTCCAGTGATTAACCTCATAAGCAAATCTAACCCGGATGTTCACAGGTCACTTTGCATGTGATGCTCAAACATTCCATGGAAGCATTGAGTTTCCACTCTTACTTATGTTTCTGTGGGGAGTAGCACAGTGGGAGGTGTGTTTGCTCACACTAAAAGTTTTTGTCTGTGTCCCAGCTTGTTGTTGTGTCCATGTTTGTGAGACTGTTGCAAAGCTACTAAAACATAACAGGAATGTTACTTTTCTTGGTTTTTGTGTGTGTTTAGAGTTTGGGGATTTGTGGAGCATTGACTCTGGTTGTGTCACTTAGGAGTGACAGGATCCTATGATAATGGGTTTGAACTCAGATTAACCTTCATTATCATCTATGGTTTGTTGGAAGTAGGGGGGGGTGGGGGTTATGTTTGGAACAGGTGACTTTGTTCCTTTAAAGAGTTCTGTCACTTAGAGTGACAGGATCCTATGATAATGAGTTTGAACTCAGATTAACCTTCATTATCAACTATGGTTTGTGGGAGTAGGGGGTGGGGGTGAGAGTGTGGGGATGTTTGGAACAGGTGACTCTGTTCCTTTAAAGAGTTCTGTTAGACAGGATCCTATGATTGTGTCACTTAGGAGTAGGGGTGGGGTGTGACAGGATCCTATGATAATGAGTTTGAACTCAGATTAACCTTCATTATCATCTATGGTTTGTTGGAAGTAGGCGTGGGTGGGGATGTTTGGAACAGGTGACTCTGTTCCTTTATAGAGTTGTGTCACTTAGGAGTGACAGGATCCTATGATAATGAGTTTGAACTCAGATTCACCTTCATTATCAACTATGGTTTGTGGGAAGTAGGGGGGATGGGGTGGGGGTTGGGATGTTTGGAACAGGTGGCCCTGTTCCTTTATAGAGTTGTGTCACATCGGAGTGACAGGATCCTATGATAATGAGTTTGAACCTAGATTCACCTTCATTGTCATCACTGGTTTGTCAGCACCACCCTCATGAGTTTCACCATTGAGGTAGAGATGCTGCATTATCTTGGGCTTTGCTCCCAGCATGCTATGTTAAGGTGTGATTTTAGATATCAGACTGGAATGGCTTGAGCAGAAGTTGCTGTGTATTGAATGGTCACTAGGTAAACTAGCTCTCAGCTATTGTCTTGCTGAGTTTGTTTACATCATACCCCAACAGCATTGATCAATAATCTCAGTGACATTAAGGTAGGCAGAGACATGGCACATTCTGTTTAAAGGGTGTGTGACATTTTAAGGCAATATACCAGCAATATGGCTGTAAGTAATCCAGTCTGGACCAGACAATCCAGTGATCACATTCTGTTTAAACGGTGTGTGAGTGAGTTTAGTTTTACGCCATACTTGGCAATATTCCAGCTATATGACAGTGGTCTGTAAGTAATCCAGTCTGGACCAGACAATCCAGTGATCACATTCTGTTTAAAGTAATACATAAAGTATTAAAGATGTAAATACCAATAAAACAAATCTTATATTTTGGATTACACTTTCTCAGTAAAGTACAGATTCTTGTACTTTTGGGGGTTGAGTCCCACTCAGGATTTGAACCAACAGTCTCCGAGTGAGGCACCTAATCGCCAGCACACAAAATCTGCAATCTAACCCACTCAGCCAGGAAGTCTGATAAGTGGTAGTATAAATCATGTGTTTTGTGTACCCCTCTGACAAGTGTAAAGTGTCACAGCTCCAATGGACGAAACTATGAATAAAGAATGCCTTAAGTGGTCAAATGTAACAAATGTTACTGAGAAAGTGTAATCCCAAATAAAACATAAGTTACATTTGACCTTTGTGTATTTGTATATGCCGGTAGCTAGATATTGGTGTTTTCTTCTGTTGCCTGATTTGGTAAAGTCAAATGGTGTCAGATCTGATTTTCAATTTTCAATTTCAATTGTCAATTTTCAGGGCATCACTAAACAGTTGTTGGGATCTGCTTAAAATTTTACATGCAACAACAACTTTCTAGTTCTGGGCACAGATCAAAAGATTTTGTAAGAAAAGATGCATTGTGTTGATATTTCTTCTTCTTTTTCTAGGATGTTGTAATGGATGAAGTGAAGAAGAAACACAAGAAGAAGAAGGCAAAGAAGGATCCAAAGAGGGAGTCGAAGAAGGAGAAGAAGAAGAGGAAGAAAGACAGATTTGAAGAAGATGAAGACAAGGAGCTGAACATCAACCTTGCGGATTATGAGCCTAAGCCGGAGTATTTGTACAAGCATATGAACAGTGACAGCTCCCCGACCAGGGGTCATCCACTTCCTCAGATGCCCCGAGGATTAATCCCGTTGTCCCCAAGACAAAGTTTCTTGAAATCCAGGTCAGAGGCACTACCTTGGAGCGAATCAGAGGAAGATTTATATGAGAAGCAGACGTCAAGAAATCTGAATCCTCTGAACATTCAGACTAAGGAAATTCCTCGAGAACTGCAGTCACCTGATTTTTCTGATGATGAGAATGTTTCGAAGTCGGCTCATAGTTCTCGATTATTGGTGAACAGACGTGCAAGGAGACAGGAGAGAAAACGTATTTCAGATCTGGAGGAACGGTTGATGGAGCTGGAGAGATCTAGTGCATCCCAAGACCACAGCTATGTGAGGAATAAGTATCGGTAGATATGAAGCTGTGATAAAAAAAAAAAAATGATGAACAACATAAGATGAATAAGATTTTTCAGTGGTGTGAGAGAAGGTTAGAAGTCACATTGTCACAGCAAACAATTCAATATGCATAAACACGACCCATGGTTTGTGAAATTTTATTTACAACTATTTTCAATGATGTGTGATCCATTAGCACAACAGTTCATGCTGAAACTACTTTTACAAAAAGGAGATAAAATTGACAAACCCAAGCAGACAAATTCCCAACCCACTGACACCATTACTTGAAGTAATATTCTTCAAAGTGATTTCCAAAAGATGTTTATCCCTTAAGCCAAAACTAACAAATATGTGTGTTTCTGGCTTCATGACTGACATAAATCTAGCAACTTCAACCGTATGCCATTTTTTTCTTATTTCACAGTAACATTCCTGTATTTTATTCTACTCTTGTATTTGTTTCATGATAGACACACCAGTCATTGTCATTGTCATTGTCATATTGGACACTTGATTGTCCTTTGAAAGCAGGTTTTGCTACCAGATTGCAAAGTACTGATATTTCAAAGAAAACAGGGGGGTCGGGGTATCCTAATGGTTAAAGCGTTGGCTCGTCACGCCGAAGACCCGGGTTCGAATCCCCACATGGGTACAATGTGTGAAGCCCATTTCTGGTGTTCCCCGCCGTGATGTTGCTGGAATATTGCTAAAAGCGGCGTAAAACCAAACTCAGTCAGTCAAAGAAAACGGCTCAGAACAACCCAACAAAACAGAATTACCTCCCCTGTATTTGATTGTCTGAAACAGAAACACACATAATTAACTTTCTGCCTGAAAACGGATAACTTGTAGATTAGACTGTAGATTGAATTTTATCCTAATGCAAATTGTCGCTTAATTATGCTGATATGCATCTGAAATAATGTACTTCTATGTCATCTTGAACAGTTGACAGTGACCTGCTTGTTATCTTCTGATATTGGCGCCTATGTATCTCATCCTTGTTGGATACCATGGCCCTCCTTTCTGTTGCATCTGTACAGCTTGGGAAATTGAGTTCCGGGAACAGTCTGTATGTACAGATGTCTACAGGGCTGGGTCAGGTAGCTTTGGAACTCAGGTTGGGTATCCTCAGTGAGACTTGTGTACCCACAGGACTACCTGAACATCTGACTTTGTTATGTTTCAGTAGAGATACAGCTTCAGTAAGTTTGAGTAATTGCATGATCAGGTCATTTTTGTACATGTATCTATATTGTTTTTGCCAGGACTCCGTGGAATTTCCATTTTGTAGCAATTCTTTGGATCTACAGAGGGTAACCCGGGTAGGGTAATATGAAATCAGGTACCCATGTAAGGTAATATGACATCAGGTACCTGGTAGGGTAATATGACATCAGGTATCCATGTAATGTAATATGAGGTTGGGTACCTGGTTAGGGTAATATGACATCAGGTACCTGGGTAGGGTAATATGGCATCAGGTACCCATGTACTGTAATATGAGGTAGGGTAATATGACATCAGGTACCTGGGTAGGGTAACATAAGATTGGGTACCAGGGTAGAGTAATAAAAGATAAGGTACCCAGGTAGGATGTTTTCGACTTGTCCCAGCCCTAAAATGTAATATATTTATAATTGCAGCATCAGGTTTGATGAATGATTATTGCATGAAGTTTGTCAATATGCTCATCCATGATGAAAATCCATTTCAAACTGTTAATTTCAAGTACCATTATGATATTAAGCATATTGTCATGTGTTGAATTATTCTGGAAATATGTCAACATATATAGTAAGTGATGGTTATGATGAACTCATTGGGACCACTAAGTTTAATTTGTTACAAGAAGCATGTACAATGTGAATGACCCCCAAAAAAAATTATGTACAAAATTAGTTGTGCATTTTGACTAAAATATACAGCAAGTGTCGGGGAATGGTCCCTAAGTTTAGTTTATTATAACACAGTTCAACAAACCAAACAGTTCATTATATGCATTAGTTTGTTTATTATAAGCATATTTTTGCTGTATGGTATTATTTAGCCATGAGATGCAGATGAATCCGTCCAGCAGATGTTCATATTCCTGACATTCCTGCCACAGATATTCCTACAACCCAGATTTACACAAGTCACCTGTTTACAGGAAAGGTGGTTCCTATTTTAGAATATTTTGATCAAGATTTACATCCGTCCAGTATTTACAAACAAAATCAGTTGAAGTCACTTTCACTTGTGATTGTTAACTCTTTCCAGTGACTGTGTTTGCATAGTAACTGCGGACTTCATCTCCGGATGCTGCAGCTCTGTTGCACTGTTGCGCTGTTGTGCTGTGTATACATCATACAGATATTATCACATGTTTATATTATATGGATATTATCACATGTTTATATTATATGGATATTATCACATGTTTATATCATGGATATTATCACATATTTATGTCATACAGATATTATCACATGTTCATATACTGATATTATCACATGTTTATATCATATTGATATTATCAATAATACATATTGATATTAGCAATAAATCTGAAGATATTTTAGTGCTATATACCATATATGGCGGTGATATTAAGTGTTGTAAAATTATGCATTACTACATCAGTATAAGAACTACAGTTGTGTTTATTATTATGAATATCTGTTTACTCTGCTACAATAACTTGACAATCATACAAGTTTTATCAATACAAATACAATATATAAACCAAACATGTTGCTATGAGAATACAAAATCCTTCTTGCAAATGTGAATACTAAGTAAAGTTAAATAAAATCTGGCCTTGAACGTTAAAAGTATTTGTTATCCAAACTGATAATTCTTGATAACATTGTTTGAATAAAATTTTGTTTGAATAATGATAATGATAACTTTGGATTTATATAGCGCTGGGCCTAGATTTTCGAAGCTCTCTTAGCGCTAAGATAGTCGTAAGTTAATGTTAATGAATGGCACTTACGACTATCTAAGCGCTAAGAGAGCTTCGAAAATCTAGGCCCTGGTATCCAGTGATCACTGATCAAAAGCACTTCTAGGAGTTAATGGTGTGGGTTCTAAGAATGTAGTGACCTTGTTAGCAAGGTCCATGTCTGTATTGGTAGAATATACAATGTATGTATATGTGTATATATATCTACAAGGGGTTGTGTCAGTTGAGTCGGGTGCGACTTGTATATATGTAGAAATTGGAATGGCATGAGAAAGTATGACTTGTCCAAACTGCTGATATTTTAATGTTTTGAAATTTCATGAAATATTTTGTGATTCACATAGAATGCCTACGATTGAGTACCGGTACACCATTTCCGGATTGACAACTGTTGCCTTTATGTTTGACAGCATACCAGTGTAAGGCCTTCTTTGTTTATGTCAACAGATGTTGTAGCTATGTCTGTATCACGAGGGGCAGTAGGGTAGCCTACTGGTTAAAGCGTTCACTTGTCACGCCGAAGATGCGGGTTTGATTCCCCACATGGGTACAATGTGTGAAGCCCATGTCTGGTGTTCCCTGCCTTGATGTTGCTGGAATATTGCTAAAAGTGGTGTAAAACAAACTAACTCACTCGCTCACTGTATCACGAGGCCACCTGGGTCACACATGGGTTAAGAATTACCGTATATTGACCGCAGATAGGCAGAATTTTGGACCAAAAAGCAGTCTGTAGAAAGGGGTCTGCTTACGTGAGGGTTACACTTTGATTAAACTCATTTGAGAAAATGACTTTTGTCCGTCAAGATGTCAAATGTTCATTTTAAACATCACTAGACAAGACTTGGCAGTTGGGGAATGACATGTAACCATCAGAGAAGCATTACTTTGAGTATTGTCCAACACAAACATTCTCAGGAACCATGGTAACCTCTGTTCAGCCATCAGAATTAGGGTAGCCTTGTGGTTAAGGGTTTGCCAGAAACACTGAAGACTCCGGTTTTAATCTCTACATGGGTACAATGTATAAAGGGTACCCTTGGTGGAATATTGCTCACAGAGGTCATCACAGTCCCTTAACCATATTGTTTTCCCTTTCACTCAACCCTTGCTGTAATGCAAAATTTCTAAACGAAGTCTAAATTGTCCTCTGAATCACCTCACCTAGGCTCCTTTTCATTTTAAATGGAGTTGCTCATTTCTTTTAAAATTTTATGTTTTCAGAGGTCAAACATTATTCTACCAAGAGTGTCTTTGTAAACTGCGAACATGTAAAGAGGAGCAGAACAAGTTTAAAAAGAACTGTTTACTCTTTGTGGATGGACAGAAACGTGCAAGCTGTTACGTTTTGTGCCATATTTTCGAAAATAATGTGAATATAATGTGTGTAGGATTTATACTTCTCTTACCATTACTCAACCAGTATCACAAAACAAGACATAAGAATGGGCTTCACACATTGTACCCCTATAGGGAATCAAACTCGGGTCATCAAGGTGTCCAACAATTTAACCACTAGGCCACCCTTACTTAGTCAGTCTCAGTGTGAGAAACCCTTGAAGCAGACCGATTGGTCTTGTGATCATGTATAGTGTGAGAAACCCTTGAAGCAGACCGATTGGTCTTGTGATCATGTATAGTGTGAGAAACCCTTGAAGCAGACCGATTGGTCTTGTGATCATGTATAGTGTGAGAAACCCTTGAAGCAGACCGATTGGTCTTGTGATCATGTATAGTGTGAGAAACCCTTGAAGCAGACCGATTGGTCTTGTGATCATGTATAGTGTGAGAAACCCTCGAAGCAGACCGATTGGTCTTGTGATCATGTATCAGTGATATTTACAATTACCTGCATAATATGTAACATGTTCTCACAATGTTTGTGTAGTGAGGGTAATGCCTATAGCTAGACACTGGCTGGTTTTGGTCATGTGTTTATTTATGATGTTTATCCCATTATGTTGATGTATATGTATCTCTGTATATATTGTGTTTGATTTACCGAAGTGACAGCTAACTTTTTGCATCACTGTTGCTATCTGACGATTTTGTCCATATTTTA